CATGACGGTAACAAAATGGTACAAAATATAAAAATATGTACTCTTGAATTACTCTTGATAGTTCTTGATGATGTGCGCAAGGTGCCAAGCAAGCCCCGGCTATCCCGGCTGTAGATTAGGGCCAGGGCAAGTTCAAATTTGCCCAAGATCAACTGGCCGCGTTGCCATTGGAGCACCTCAATGAGAAACTGTGTTGCTGGTGTTTTATAATTTGTTCAGGCAGTGGACAGTCCTTGTCCGCATATATTGCTCTGCTTAGCTTTTGGCATGAGAGTCAATCTTAGAATCGTCACTCCTTCGCTCTGCGGCTTGCACCCAAGGGCCACTGTCGGAGTCCACTGCTTTTTGTACCTGCCCATTGTCACTCATGGACTAAGAGAATCCAAAACGTATGGAAGATCTATCATTCTCTAAAATATTTGATCTGTTTGACTGTTTGATCATATTTGTACGTTGTAATTCTTAGTAGTCTGGCGATCACAATGCAACTACTGGAACTGCTGTCCCAAGTGATGACGCCTCTTCGAGGAGCCCCACAAGGCGCCCGAGACGTCGTTCGGCAGCTGAAAAAACGGCAGAGGATAGTGCCAGAAACGAAAAACATGAAAAAAAGATGAAAAAACATGAAAACTAATTTGAAAATATTTGAAAACTCCTGAAAAATCAGCAACTTCAGCAAATGGATTGAAGAAAAGGTGAAAACTGGCCATGTCAGAGCTCGCTGAGGTTTTGGCCTTCCACAATCAGCGGTCTGAAACAGCTATAGTTGGGCAACAGCGTTGGGGCGAAATTTGCAAAAGTTTCTCAATCTTCTGAGGGTTTGTTTGGAACGCTTTCAAACTGTCAGATGTTTAAGGCAAAACACACTGAGACGGAGACTGCTTTTCCGCAATGTCCTCAACCGTTTTCTCGACAGCCTGCCAACCAATAGGGAACACATCATGTTGAGTCTCGTTCATTCCTTTCACAGTTGATATTCGCATCAGCAAGCCTCAGGAAGTGATTCTTACTATGGCATACACATATTTACAACTACATGATATATACAGTGTATATATATATATACGTATAATTCAGGGTCCAAATAGAATTGAGACATGCACTGCTACTCTCAAAAGACAATTGCAGGTCTTCATGTCTTGCGTGGAGTGCACAAAATACAAAGATAAATTCTGTGACTTGCTCCCATACCTCCAACCTACATGGTTTTTTTGATATGGTTTGATACTCGGCTGTGATTCAGCGCGCTCAATTTCGGCAGGCTCACCACAACTCCTGTGACCTCCTGCCTCACACAAACTGGGACATTTAAATCACTTCAAAGACAATTTTTGGACAGGACGGAACAGAACAAACAAGAACAGACTTGGCAAGTGTGCCAAACTTTGTTCGAGGGGCACGTTGCAGGCCACTTAAACAGACAGTTGTCTTGCCGCAACAACTGACCTTGCTGAATGAATCAGAAACTCTTGGTGTTCAGACTTGTTCCTTGATTCGGCACTGTCGTCTTCTGTGACAAGTTTCAGTATTTGATTCTCTGGACATGCTCCTTTATACAGTCTCTCCTTCAGGATCCGGTTGTGTACAAATCTAAGCGCAATTCCACAAGCTCATTTGGTAGTCTGCAAATGTCAACTCTCTGCCGGTGTCTCCACAGTTGTGTCTCCACAGTTTTCTTCAGCTGCCATCAGTACGTCTTTCTGTCTTGTAAAATTGACATTTCAGCAGGTGTGACTTTTGTCACGGTGTTCCTCAGTTTTATGCATGGTTGTCGTTTTATTGTTCGTTCAGCAGGCTTTGTGTTTCGGTAAGTCATTCATTCATCTATTGATTCGTTTTGCAATCCAAGTCCCTGCGCTATCCAACAATCAGACCGTAATTACACCAGCATAGACCCCAAATAGAAAAGGTTTCAGAAACGCTTCTTTACGCCGTGCGAATATGTTGCTGCAATAGCGGAATCGCTGGTTCCCAAACGTTGGAACCAATGTGTCCCAATCTTAAAACCACAGGTTCCGCGTTCGAGGAATTGCTAGTTCCCCAACATTCGAAACAATGCTTCACAATCTTGGAACCGCGTGTTCCCAGTTCAAGGAACTGAACCCATGCTCTCAAATCTTGGGACCCCGGGTTCCCAGCTCCAGGAACGCATGGTTCCCGCATGTTGGAACCAATGCCTATTGGAACCACGGGTTCCCAGTTTGAAGAACTCCTGGCTCCCAAACCTTGGAACCAATGCTTCCCAATTTTGGAACCACGGGTTTCCAGTTTGGAGAACTGCTCGTTCCCAAACCTTGGAACCAACGCTTCAATCTTGGAACCTCAGGTTCCTAGTTCTCCAAACGAACGGTTCCCAAACCTTGGAACCAATGATCCCCAATCTCGGAACCCCGGGTTCCCAGCTCGAGGAACGCATGGTTCCCACATGTTGGAACCAATGCCTCCCAATCTTGGAACCACGGGTTCCCAGCTTGAAGAACTGCTGCTTCCCAAACCTTGGAACCAATGCTTCCCAGTCTTGGAACCATGGGTTTCTAGTTTGAAGAACTGCTTGTTCCCAAACCTTGGAACCAATGCTGATATCTTGGTAGTTCTCCAAACGAACGGTTCCCAAACCCTGGAACCAATGATCCCCAATCTTGGAGCCTCGGGTTCCCAATTCTGGGAACTAGCGGTTCCCAAACGTTGGAACCGACGCTTCCCAATCTTGGAACCAATGCTTCCCAGTTCTAGGAACTAGCGGTTCCAAAACCTTCGAACCAACGCTTCCCAATCTTGGAACCTCGGATTCCCAGTTCTCGGAACTAGCGGTTCCCAAACCTTCGAACCAATGCTTCCCAATCTTGGCACCTCGGGTTGCACAGATTCTCACACACGCATTTACATTCCGATCTGCAACTGTGACTAAAAAAAAGCACTGCAAAATGTCAGATGTTGACACACACCCGAGAAAAAAAAAAAAAACCTGCTTCGCCACTGCCCTCGGAGGCTGCTAATGCACAGACCTCCTCCACAGCACCTTGCAGCACCGTCCACACCACCCCGACAGCACCCTGACAGCACCCTGCACCCTCCACAGAGCCCTTTCACAGCATCCTGCAGAGCACCTTGCACAGCACCTTGCACAGCACCCGGCACACCCTGCACAACATCCTACACACCACCCTGCACAGCACCCTGGCCAGACTTCGCCACCGCACGAAAGCATCACCCTGGCCAGGCTTCTCCACCGCACGGCCTACACCGCCGAAACAGGAAGCACCCTGCAGAGCACGTTTGCCAGACCTCGCCACCGCAGTCTGGACAGCAGCCTCCCAAGCAGCCTGCACAGCACCCTGCATAGTACCCTTGCCAAACTTGGCCACAAAGTTCGCCACCGAAGACCTGACCTTTGAGAAGTAAGAACCCCTATAGCTTCCAGCTATCTGGGGAAAAAGCTGCGGGCAGAAACAGCGGCTTTTGCAGTCCATTCTTTGATTTTCTGCTACGCAGACTTGTCGGTCTAGGATCTTTCACTTGAGTGCAAGCTCATCACTGCCTGATCTTGCAGCAGTCTTCATGTTTGCTTTTATGAGCAAAACATGCAGGGATAAATTTAAGGGGTTGCAGCGTGGATATTAAGATATTGATTCTGCTGGCCAAAGAAGCAGGAGCCATGGAAGCCGAACTTCTGTTACTGTTCTTGAAGATTCACGATGCAGTCTTTCATCTGATGCGTGTTTTCTTACACAGTAGGACAAGTGCATACTCTTGCTGATATAGCTTCAGCGTCTGCAAGTTCTATTCAGTCAGTCAATACCAAACAACTCTTTGAACCCTTAAGCAAGTCTTTTACTTGCTGACAGTGGCAGACTCAGAACATATTCCCAGTAATACGATGCTCAGCCAAGAGTGAACAAATAAGAACCGTGGGGTTGCGCCATTGCCTGTTTACTTGAAAGGGCACTGAGTTGTAGCACGGGATGAAAATACCAATTGCATTCATGAGGGTCATTTGACACCGTTTCACCCAACGGTTGCAATCTACAAAATGACTGTAAATTGGACATCCTTTCAGGCAATCCGATGACTAGAAACTGATAGCGAAGTTGGTCGAAACGCTGCACCTCGTGCACCTTTCCGCTGCGCTGCAGAACCAAAACACTTTTGTCCTGAGTTAGATCAGTTAAATCAATTAACGTTGACACACCCATAGTGCGGGAGATGGTCAAAAATGAAACCGTTGTTATCATCCCACATGGCTGTGGCAGCCACAATCTTTCCGAAGAGCATCTTCAAGTATGTGGTGAGCGCTTTGACCTCCCAACGTAAGTGCCATCATGTGCCATCTCTACAAGACTGCACAGATCTGCACAGCTGTGGCACACCTTTTGACCCTTTTGAGCTTGGTTCTCGGAGTCCCGTGCAGGACCCTAACCGAAAAAGTGCGTTCTTGAAAAGCAGGTGAACGCAGTGAATCATCCAGTTTGGCGATCCACGAAAATCTCAAAGCTTCTTGGGCAATCTTTGGCCATCAAGATGTGTACGACTCACTTCCGTCTGTACCAAACCTCAGTTTGTGCAACTTGCAAGATCTTGCAACGACTCTAAATCAGGGACCAGGTTTGGGAGGATCCTACTTACTGACACCATCTGCAGGTTGGGGAGATGAGAGATGATGAGAGTGTAGTGTGATGTGGAGATATGTGGAGATATGTGGAGGCTTTCTGGCGCAGAGTCCAAATGTTTATCAGCTTGGGAGCTAGTGTGACATTCTGTGACTCTGTAACAGTTTGCTGGAAAGATGATTGTGACTCTCTGCAACCGACATAGTGGGGCTGCGTGTGTGACATACTAGCAATTTATAGACTTGTACTTCCAGCAAACAGAAGCAAACAGGATTTCCATAACTGTACTCCCTGCAGATAGAAATTGTATGAAATTGATAGTACTTACTAAGACTCCAACGAGCTGAACAACACGGCCGAAAGGTACACTGCCTGCATCTGCCGCCTTTTGCATCAAGGTGCAATGTACTCAGGAAAGGCTTGATTTTCGTCGAAGATAACGAATTCACCTGGGTTGCTTGTGAAACATTGCAAAAATAGGTTCAAGTTCAAGCGTTTTTTGGTCATGCATTGCATCAGCTGATTAGATAGTCATTCATCAAGTTGCGGAAAGTTTTCCGGGTCTTCTCCCGATCTCCAAGAACTGAATGGTAGAAGTCCTCCAAACTGAGAAAAAAAACATGCTTGCTGCGTGAGTTTGCATCTCATCATCATATGGCTCGTACCAGGCTCAAACACATATTATTTGAATATTTTTGAAAGAAAATATCCGTCTTCTCGCCCAAAAGTCAGACAAAAATGGGAGAAGTTTGGTGAAACAAAATTCCGAGTCAATGTTTCTCTTAAGATTGCATGACCCTTTAAAAAGGAAAAAATCGTGAATAGGATTGAAAAAGGGTAAGCTGAAAGTCGCCCCGGCTCACCGTGCTAGCTCTGCAGGAGCTGCGGAGAGACTCTCGGATAGCAGTTGGGTCCTGCACGTCTGAAAAACAGGCGTCCGACCTGTCCACCATGCAAGCTTAGCGCGTCTGCATGTCCAAGGGCCAAAACATCCACAAAACATGTGGTTTGGTTGTTGGATACCTGAAAGATCCTGCAAAACTCCTCCACATCACAATAGTTGACGTTGCCCAGAGTAACTCGGCAAAGGATCAATGCAAAAAGCCTCGGCAAGAATGTCGGATGAAAGACTTCAGGCACAAACATAAATGAAGATAAGTTAAGTATACATAGTTACATAATGTTACATACCCTATCCTTGCCAAGTACGGGCAAAGAATCACGCCCGCTTCCTCTAACGATCTCCAACCCTTCTAATTCTTGGAAGACGCCCACTGTATTGCCGAAAGTGTGACCATGAGTGCAACATCATTGAAGCACATGCACTAAAGTCACCAGAGGCACTGCCACATTGCCCTGTGGGGATGCTTCTGCGTGACAAGTTGCTCCCGGTCGTTCTTCTTTGCATACTCGTCAGCCTTCAAGCAGCTTTCCTTGGCGAAGGCAGGCAGCTGATTCCAAGGTTATCCTGGCCACTCTTCAAAAGCTCAAGAATGCCACCTCACCAAGAGAGAGAGCATGAGGTGATTAAAGCATATTAAAGCCAGATTCTGCAAAGTAGAGGCCACGTCCAAACAACGAACCACGTCCAGAGCCAGCCTGACATTGCAAAGCACAAGTAAAGCATTACTTACTGAATAAAGATGAATAAAGCAAGTAAAGCTCAAAGTGCCACGCACACTCCCACCCCCTGATCAAGGGCAGCATCAAAACTCAGCGTTTTGTACCTGTACCGCCTGGCCTGCTGAAGATCAAAGCCCTTTCTGGAAATGCTCTCCACCTACAGTAGCAGTAACTTGCAGCAACACTGACAGTACAAGTAACATAGAGTAACAATGTCAACGTCAACACAAGGTTGTGTAAAGCGTCAAAAACTGATCCTTGCCTGCTTCGGTCCAGTCCCATGCCACAAGTAGCATTCCTGGGCCAAAGTCATCCGGAAGCGCGTTCATGATCACATTGCCAAATTGTGTGCATCTGGAAGCTTGGAATATCTTGGAACAACACAGCGCACATTATCGTACATTTCTGTCCAAAAGTCATTGAGATCTCGTCGAAGGTCTTTGGACGTTCTTGGATGCCTTCAGCATGAAACAAGTACCAGTAGTACCGCACAAGGCGGTGGCGGAAGTTTCAAAAATAGGAAACCTATAGGAGAAGTTGGTTGTTGTGAATCAGGGATGGCAGAGCGAAGCCACTGATTGACCGAAAGGTGGTTGGAGCTGTGTTTGCTGGAGTGGTTGCAATGGTTGCAATGGTCACCTCACCCACAACTGCTGGATGTAGTGTGATGCAATGCAACTGTAGTTGTAGTTGTAGCGTAGTGGAGTTGTAGTTGCGGTGTAATGTAATTAGTGTAGTGTAGTTGCAGTCATATAGTTGTAGCTGTAGTTGTTTTGTAGTTGTAGTTGTTTTGTAGTTGTAGTTGTAGTAAATGTTGTTGTTGTTGTTGTAGCTGTAGTTGTTGTGTGGTTGTAGTTGTTGTGTAGTGTAGTTGTAGTAGTAGTTGTTGTTGTAGTTGTTGTAGTAGTTGTTGTTGTTGTTGCTGTTGCTGTTGTTGTTGTTGTCGCTGTTGTTGTTGTTGTTGTTGTTGTAGTTGTAGTTGTAGTTCTAGTTGTAGTTGTAGTTGTTGTGTAGTTGTTGTAGTTGTAGTTGTTGTAGTTGTTGTAGTTGTTGTAGTTGTAGTTGCTGTGGTTGGTGTTGGTGTTGTTGTTGTTGTTGCTGCTGTTGCTGTTGTCGTCGAAGTTAGGGTAGTTAAGTTAGTGAAGTTAGTTAAGTTAGTCAAGTTAGTTAAGTTAATCAGTGTCTACTTTTTCGACATCTTCACGTCAAAAAAGGCTCAAAACCCTCAGTTTTTTACACTTTTGACTTCGAAATGTGCTTCGCGCCACAACGGCGTGCACTTTTTCGACACTTTTTCGACATCTGAACCTCCAAAAGTGGTCCGAGACCGTCAGTTTTTAACACTTTTGACTTGGAAATGTGCTTCGCGCCACAACGGCGTGCACTTTTTCGACATCTCAACTTCCAAAAGTGGTCCGACAATGGTGTGTTTTGTACATTTTGACTTCAAAATGTGCTTCGCGCCACAACGGCGTGCACTTTTTCGACATCTCAACTTCCAAAAGTGGTCCGACATTGGTGTGTTTTGTACATTTTGACTTGGAAATGTGCTTCGCGCCACAACGGCGTGCACTTTTTCGACATCTCAACTTCCAAAAGTGGTCCGCTCCTCTAGTGTTTTGTCACTTTTCACTTGGAAATGTGCTTCGCGCCACAACGGCGTGCAATTTTTCCTCTCTCATCTGGCCAGCTGGCTCCGCACCCGCCGCTTTAGCGAGCCTACTTTTCGACCCTCCGGAGCCACAAATCATTGGAAAAACACAGTGAATCGCGACTTTCCTATCTTTTCGCGCATCTACATCTTCTTTCTTCTGACCTTTTCTCTTCTGACTCTTCTCACCTCTGCTTTTCAACTGTCCATATTGTCGGAAGTATAGCTTCTAAACTTCCTTCGGCTAAGTAAGTACTACAATATTTTGCTGATTAAGCCCGCAGGCATCCCCTGTGTGTGCTTGCTCATACATAGCCGCGTACGGGACGTCAAACTGCATCTTTACATGCTTTGGGGAAAGAATATGACTACAGTAGATTGGTCCTTATGGAAGGGACACTCTGAAGTTGTAAATTTGAAACCAGATCATTGAAGCATGCAGCACGCAACATGTTTTGTCGTTCCGGCGCAAGACCATAACTATCCACAAGCATGTTGATCAGAAAGCCATCCTTTTCATAGCAGTATGTACGGTATCTCCGGTATACTACGACAATATCATGAACAAACGCACATCAGGTTACCACCACCATGCCTATTCAAGAGCCACTTGGGACACCACCAGAGCGCTGCGACACCATCCACAGTTCTGTAGATGGCCATCACGATGCATATCCAATACAGGATATACAGGTCAACACAACATGACATGACTAAGACGCGGCCACACACGACATTCCGAACATGCGACGCCGAATGATGCCGAATGACGCCATGCAGCTTGAGATGCAGCACAACAGGGCTGGCCACAACAGGCAGAACATGAAAAGGACTGCAAGGACATCATCCTCAAAACGTCCATAAAACATCCACAGCAGCTGCATGCAGCTGCCATAGAAAAATATCAAGCGGATCATGCCAACAAAAACAGAACATGCACCGCATGCAGCGCAGCACATGCAGCGCATCGCATGCATCGCACCAGGACATGGACATGATGGACGCGTGCACAATGTGTTTGGCCGTGCTTAGCAAGAAGCTTCGAACTTAGCAACATCCAGCGTGCCTGGACCACCGCGGATCTTAGATGATCTTGGATGATCTTGGGTGATCTTAGGGCGCAAAAGAGTATATTAATATTAAATACATTTAAATACCCCATAGCTATGAATAGCTGCGACCATTGCAGGAAGGACACTGGGTTCGGATAGGTTCGGATTCAGGTGTAGGTGACAGAGAAACTGCAAACAGCAAACTGATTCCTTAGAGCCAGTTGCAAGACAGGCCTTCTTTCCAGGTCCTGATGGTGCTTTGAGATTGGTGAAGTGGAGCTGGTTCCTTGGCCAGATATCTCCAACCAACAAGATCGGGACAAAGTCAAGAGCGTTTCCCGAGGGAAAATGTTGCCACAAATGGACCCTGACACAAATGGACCCTGATTCTTCTTAGAATGATTTGGCTCAAATTCACGACTAGATTTAATTGAATTTCTATACCTCCACTCAAATATGATATTTGTTCAAAATCGCGGTGTCAAGCCATTGTGTTTGGTGTCTGTTGTTAGTTTGAAAGAAACTGGAGGAAATCCTATTGAACTTGACCAAGCTGCGCACGCTCCAGTCAGTTTGAGCTGACTGAGGCATCTCAAGATTTATAATTTGTTGGCCTCGCTTCTCAAATTTGTCACACTACGAGTATGTCACGCTTGAAAATTGCCTGTAGTTTGCCGTGATCAGCTTATGGTTTCATTGCTGAAACGTAGAACAAATCAGTTGTCTGGATGCAGGAGGCTATTTCACTCACTCACTCACCCACTCACTCACGCACGCACGCACGCACTCACTCACTCACTCTTTCTCTCTCTCTGTCTCTCTCTCTCTCTCTCACAGTCGGTCACTTAGACTTGGACGGATCAAATATTTCAAGTACATCTTCGTGTTGGACAGCACCACCACATTGTCAACTTCAAGTCGCTCTGCCATAGGCTGGTCTGTCCGATCCCTGACATTCCAGTTTCAGGGATTAAAGTGTTTACGTGGTCAAACGGTAAATCCCTTTCTTGTTGTCCACGTTGCTCTTTCTATGTTCATCTATGTCCTAGTTCCTGACAAATCTGTTCAGCTCCATCATTTGAACAATCTGTTTTGGAACAAAATGTGAAACTGGCCTCGTGCGAGTGGCCGGCCCATAGCCACCCCATGCAGTATAGGTCTCGTCCAACAGTAGTTGCATTTTCTCCTTGAGACCTGCATCCTGGCACTGATGAAGCTCCTGTCAGAAGAAGACCGCCCGAGTAATGTTTAAATAGTTTTAGTATATTTTAGTATGCTGTCAGTAAAATTTTAGACCATACAAACTATTCAGTAACTTTTCGTCCAAAAGCTTTTACATGCTCCGTCCTCGTCTGTTCGGCTTCGTTGAAACTCTGAATCCGGTGTGGCATTTGAAGTGGAATGGAACCGGAGGTGTGCTTTCTCAGCCTTAAGCGAGGATTTGAAGACACCCTATATCGTTGCACAAGCCACTCTGGCTCTACTGATGCAAATGTGGATGCCTTGTATGGAAAGTAGGAGAAACATGGAGAAACAGATTTGGATTTCTCTGTCTTATCAATAAATATACACATATACATATACATATATATATGCATATATATTAATTAAATAGTTATAACAAATTAATGAAAATATTATATAACAGGCATGCGTGCAGGCATGCATGCATATATGCATGCACGTATGCATGTATGTATGTGTGTACGTATGTACTGTATGTATGTGCCTATGTATGTATGTACTTAAGTACGTTCGTACGTATGTACATATGCATATGTGTGTGTGTATGTATGTGCCTATGTATGTATGTATGTACGTACGTACGTACGTATGTATGTATGTATGTATGTGTGTATGTGTGTATGTGTGTAAATTTCTGTGTATGCTGATGTGCATGTACGTATGTATATTTTAATATATACATGTATATGTATTGCATATAAGGTATATGTGCATGCATATGTCTATGTATATGTATGTGTGTATACATGTAAAAGTATATGTATATGTATAAGCATATGTATCTGTTGATGCATGTGTATATGCACATGTAGATGTATATGTTATATGTGTATATGTTTTTGCCAGCGGATGGAAAGCCGCGCTGGCGTTTGTAAGGTTGTTTGATACCTCTCGTGTTTGCACATGGGGGGTGGGGGTGAGGCTAGTAACGTTCTATGAGCTTGCGTAACATCTGACACGCCCTTGATTCTACGCTGTGAACACTTTCGTGTAGCATCTAACATGCTCTTGATGCTACGCTTTGAACATGGGGTGTGGGGGTGTGGGGGGGCTAAAAACATTTTATTATCTTGCGTAACATCTAACACGCTCTTGATTGTAAGCTGTGGGCACTTTCATGCAACATCTCACAAGCTCTTGATGCTACGCTCCGAAATGCTCTGAACATGGGCTGTGGCGGTGTGGGGGGGCTAATAACATTTTATTGTCTTGCGTAACATCAAACACGCTCTTGATGCTACACTCTGAACGTAACATCTATCATGCTTTTGATGCTATGCTCTGCCTGCAATCCATTTACTTCAGTTCTTTATGCAGTCATGGCAAGGGGCTAAGCCAAGAAATCCCAAACCGTCACTTAATTCCACCTGGTTTTTGAACATACACGGTTGTCGCAATCTGATCACTCCATTATGGGTTTCGCATGGTTTCGCTATCTGCCTGCGTCGACGTATTCTACGTATGGGGTTTGGTCTTTGATCCGATCTTGGTCGCAATGTACGGAATACATCATTGAAGATGCGATATTTTTCTTCGGAGGACTACTTAATCATGCTGTGTTGTTGTTGTTGTATTTAAAAGGATTCAGTTCCCAACAGATCACTTCAGTGATCTTTTTCCTGTCTAGTGTGATTTCCATGGTGGCTCCCACAAGGTGCCATGGACCCATGTGAGGGAACCCTGTCTGGGATGAATGCAGACCCGCTGCTCTCTGAATTTACAGTTTTCAACCTAGCAATTCTTCTAGTTAAAGTGTAACAGCTGACCTGTTTGTTCACCAGTTTTGACGTCATGCCGCGCCGGCCGTCTTTGCGATACCCTGGCTTTTTCAACTCTGCTCACGAGAGACTGACGGAACGGTCAAAAACTTCATGTTTGATAGCTACACCGACATTTCGCTAGGTTAACATGCATGTCTCCAGGCGACAGGCAATTTCTTTCATGTAGGTTTTGGGGAGGAACGCGCGACCTTGCATGATCGTGGGACTGGATACCACAAAGTGCTTTTTTTGCCCCACTTGCCATTGGCCAATCATTGGCCCCTAATTTTACCCTAATCCCCCGTGCACCTCTATAATGTGCTGTGGGGTTTCTGGGTCCGTTTCTTCGTTTAATTATAATTTGTTTCCGGAGGAGGTCCGTTTGTTCCCCTCCCCCCCGCGCTGTTCTGGCCGTTTGCCCGTCCCGCTTTGGCAGGGACGCGCCAGACGGATAGAGTCACCGCGCCTCCTTCAAAAATTCTGCTCTGCGGCGGGGTGCCCATTGCGGAGGCTTTACACCCTACTCAATTAAATGGCTATACCTCAGCCAACTCCACCTCTACTTTTACGGCCCGGCCTCCGCCGAGCGCATCTGCTCCGCCAACTTGACATCTCGGGCGCTTACCACAAATTCCTAGCGTAAGTGGGATGTCAAGGGGAGATCGTACGTGCATCAAGTGTTCTTTTTCCCCTTGCAACGTTTACCGGCCTTGTGAGACAAGATGTCCTCGTCCTCGACTGGGCCGCTTAAAAACTCGCTGGCCCAGTCCGTGAAGTCAGCACGCTGCCGCGCCAAGGCAATAGTCAGCAACAGGGCCATGCTGGTCCACCCAATAGTCCTCTGCCGCGAGAAAATGGATTCCATGCATTAATCTGTACCAGCAAGTGCCACAGGCGAACGCGGGGCAACAGGATTGCCATCACGCGCTTGTTTCCTGTTGCTATGCAACGCTAGGAAAAAACCGGGAACGTGCGCAGCATAAAACAAAACACGAAACCTGATGCAGTCCTGGCTTGGCCTGCACCACGGCAAACCAGTGCGCAAACCAGCCGATCTTCCGACCAGAAGCAAGACGCGTGTTGCTTTGCAGACTGCAAATGCAAGATCTATCGGTGCTGCCGGGCGACACGGGAAGTTTCAGCCACGTGCTGCCATACCGTCTTCCGGGCATCGCCCTTCGGACGGAGGCAGTGGCTGAGTTCGGCGGCACCCCCGGAAAACAGGACCTCAGCAGCGCAGCTAAGCAAATCAGGTGCCAGGCTACTAAGACCACCTTCGAACGCACGTCCGCACCTGCGGGGCACGGCGTCCCACCAAAACGTCCGCCAGTCACGTAAGTTGACCTGACCTCAGTATTTGCACGCCTGGAGGACTCACACGCATGGTGCTTCATACAATCCTGGGAGGTCATGTCAACGGAATGCATTGAGCCACTTGCCGGAAGACGGCCGCTGCCGTCGCTCATGACGTCGGCCTGGTCAACGACCGTAGGCAGACAGGAGAGGCATTGCATCACAATGCGTCTCCCCGCCTCAAGCATCTCGGCATCCTACTCCTTTTGAACCCTTTCATCTTTGAGGCCTTATCGAACACGTTGATGTGAAGCAGCGACGCCGCAAACCAGCACGCGCGACTCTTCCTGCTTTAAAGCCGGGACCGGCATTGTAGGACCTGAGCCCTCTTGCCTTTTCAGGGTAGACCCGGCCTCGGCCGGGTGTGTGTGTGTGTGTCTCTGTGCGTGTGTATGTACCACCTCATCAGATTTAAAACTTGCATTGCATTTTTTGGTGGCGACAGGGTCACTGCATGGCTGCCGCCAACGAAGCTCCATGCAGTTGACTAGGATATGCGGTCTGATCCACTCCGCGTACCTGCAACCCGTTTACTGCAGTTTTTTCTGCAGCCATGGCAAGGGGCTAAGCCAAGAAACCCCAAGTCGTCACTTCCACCTGCTTTTTGAGGACACGGTTGTCGCCCAAGTTGGCGCAATCTGATCACTATGGGTTTCGCTATCTGCCTACGTCGATGTATTCTACATATGGGGCTTGGTCTTTGATCTGATCTTGGTCGTGATGTACGGAATACGTTATTGAAGATTCGATATTTTCTTCGGAGGACTACTTATGGCTCGGTGATCATGTTGCGTGTTGCTTTTTTAAAGGGGTTCGGTTTCCAGCAGATCAACGTGATCTTTTTCCTGTCTATATAGTGTGTCAACCCGATCTTTTTCCGACGTTTTCCAAAACTAAAGCCTTAGTTTGGCTTGGGTACCATGAAGCATGGGAAGCCTAGGTTGAAGATTCGACGGACCTACATTCTTTTTGGATCTGTTGACCAAGTTGTCTAGTTTGTTCCATCAAATTGGGTTTGTCATAGGTTTGCCTGAAGTTGCTCTGCAAGTGGGTTGGTGTTCGGTTGCACGTGCACTAGAGTCTAGAGCTCGACCGCCCTGCACTGCACTCCTCTTGAATTTCGTCCCAGGCACAAGGTTGAGCATGCCTCTGGATGTTGCATGACGGTATATCGCACGATGTGCCAAGACATCATTCTCTCTGCAATGGTCCAGCAAGACAGGCAAAGATGCCTGGCAAGAACAAAACACCAAACCCCAAGTATCTCAAATTTCAACCAATATCAATCACATCACAGCAGGTCAGACAAGTGAGGTGTCCTGCTCCAGCTCTGACACAGCACTCGCACAAAGGTCCGTCCATCCACACTCCTGCGAAAAGAAAGACAAACTCAAAGTTTCCAACATCTTCCAACAAAATCAAAATACTCAAAACCAAAAAAGAACACGCGGCTAGCTTGGACGCACCTGCCTCCGCTTCTCGCGCTATCTCGGACAGCAAAGCTAGGTCGCCACTCTCATGCGCCAATTTCACCTTTCAAATGCAGTTCATGTCGGGTCATATCAGGTATTGAGGAAAAATTTGGAATGGTGTTCGCGGCACAGCTCTTCAAAGTCTTCAATCCGTGAGAAGCAGAGAAATCTGGCATGAACGGCATCAGTCCTGCCTGCAACCGCGCAGCTTTGTTGGCATCCTCGCATGCTCTGAAACGAAGAGTCTTTCTGTTTCATCTTATTCTATGCCTTGCCCTGCTTGCAATTCGAGACTTCCAATCGATGTCTATTTGCTTGCCACTTTCACCCTCAGTTTTGACATGTTTCGAATGTCTTCGCCCTCTTGTGCGAGAGAAAAACAGGAGACTCAAAAACCGCGGCTCACTCATTCAAGTTCGATCGCGAGAGGATTCATAAATTGATGCGTGTGTGTATATATATATATACTGTAAAAAATGTTTCATGCTTCATACGTATCTCATCATGGTCACAGTTGGGTGTTTTTCCTGGTTGGTTGCCTTTCTTGCATGCCCATTCATTGCCGATTCGAATATGCTGTTTGATTTCAGCACTGGCTTCATCCGACCTCGATGATGGGCGTCAATCGTGCATCTTTTGCGGTCCGATAGACTGAGGCTATCTCAGCGAATGGCGCCATGTCCTGACTACATTGCACGTTTTGCACCAGATTCGCCTACTACCACCAAAAAGCAAATTTCGCCGTCCAACTAAATAGGTAGGCAGACAAAGGACATCACTGGCCATCATTGTCGTGAAAATTCGACCCTGCTGCCAATTCCGCCGGAAGGACGACCAGCAACAACAGCAGCGCAAGTGCCAGTACCAACCATAGCATCACCACCTCCAGCAGCACCACCGCAACCTCAACCACGACAACTACCACAACAAAAGGCAACAACGCAACAACTTAACCACCACCACCACCACCACCACAACAACAACAACAACAACCACAACGACAACAACAACCACAACCACAACGACGACGACGACGACGACGACGACAACAACAACAACAACAATTCAAACACAACCACGGCAACAGCGACAACGACAATGACAACGACAACATTAACCGTCAGCTCCCGAGAGGTCAGAGGATTTGCACACCTATAAATTTGACACACCACGTAGTTGCTCTACTTTAGCTTCTTACCAGTACTGTCAGTAATCTCTCTCTCTCTCTATTTCTATTTCTCGCCACATTCCATTTGCAACACAGACGATGCAGACTCCGTTCACAATCCGGTAGCATCCTTTTTCGTACAGAAGTGTCCCTGCGTCCTAACAAGTTGAAGGCAACTGACATGGACAACCGTCCCACCACTTCCTTACAGTCACTACGAGAATAGTTTCATGCGCTACTTTCGCTTCATACTGTCAATAATGACAGGCTCTCTCTATTTTCTGGCTCACCACATTGAATGTGCAACACAGACAATGCAGACTCCGCTCGTAACCCGATAGTATCCCTTTAACAAGTTGAAGGCAACTGACATGGACAACGGTCCCACCACTTCCTTGGATCCACTACAAAAGAAGAACACAATGGAAATCAAATGGCAAAGCTGCTTGTGTGACAGCTTTGCGCAGCAACTTCACGCGGCCTCAACTTCCGCGGCAGATGCCCCCACACTGGACCATGTTGGGTCCCACCTGGACTCAAGTTGGAGCCAACTGGCCCGAGCTCGGCGCAAGTTAGGCCAGGCCCAAGTTGGGCCCAAGTGGGCTCCTGTTCGGCCCAACTTAAGGCTAAGGACGGCCAAGTTTGACCCCAGTCGGCTTTGGTTGGGCCAAGTACGCCCGCTCCCTTCCTCTCTATCCAATTCTCTGGGTGAGAACCTTGTCTGTGGAAGCCCTGCTGAGCATAATGTAATAGTAGCATGCAATGAGTGTGAACCAGTTGCAAATTGACAGAAGCTTACCGAACTGTATTCATCGACATGTCTTTCTGATTTCTTTCTGATTTGCAGAATGGGTCCTCCAAGACTGTACCTCGAGTTGCTTCCAAGCCTGGCGACAAAGAAGACACCATCGACATGTACAATCAATATATATATATAATTATTATTATTACTATTATTACCATTATTATTATTACTATAATTATAACTATTACTATTATTACTATTATTATTTTATTACTATTATTACTATGTTTACTATTATTACTATTATTACTATTATTACTATTATTACTATTATTTTATTATTATTACTATTATTATTACTACTATTATTATTACTATTTTTACTATTATTACTATTATTATTATTACTAGTATTATTATTACTATTATTATTATTACTATTATTACTATTATTACTATTACTATTATTACTATTATTACTATTATTATTATTACTATTATTACTATTATTTTTATTATTACTATTATTACTCTCATTATTATTATTTTATCATTATTACTATTATTATTACCATTATTATTACTATTATTACTATTATTACTATTATTACTATTATTACTTTTATTTTTATTACTATTATTACTATTATTACTATTATTATTACTATTATTGCGATTATTAATATCATTATTTTTACTACTATTAATATTATTGTATTATTACTACTATTATTACTTTTATTTTTATTACTATTCTTACTATTATTATTACTATTGTTACTATTATTATTACTATTATGTTTATTATTTTATTATTACTATTATTACTATTATTATTATTGCTTATTACTATTATTACCATTATTATCATTATTTTATTACTATTATATATTATATTATATAATATTATATAATATTATATTATATTATATTACATTATATTGTATTATATTACATTATATTGCATTATATTACATTATATCATTTTATATTACTTTATATTATTTTATATTATTTATATTATTTTATATTATTTATTTTTTTAAGATTCTATTATATTATATTATATTATGTTATCTGTTATATTATATTATACTATAGTTTATTATATTATATTATATATTACATTATATTACATTATATTACACTAAATTACATTATATTAGTTTATATTAGTTTATAGTATTTTATATTATTTATATTATTTTATGTTATTTTATAGTATTTTATATTATTTGTATTATTATATATTCTTTTATATTATTTTTATACTATTTTATATTATATTAGATTATATTATATCATGTTATGTTATCTGTTATGTTATGTTATATTATATTATATTATAGTATATTATATATATATCATATTTTATTATATTATAATATAACAATGTTATATTATATTATATTATATTACAGTATATTATATTATATTGTATTATATTACATTATATTATATTATATCATATTATATTATATTATATATATATATATATATTTGTATATTTAGACAGCATCACATGATGATTGGTTTGCATTGCCGAAGTGCCGGTGAAATCAAACAAAACCCAACAACATCTAATCACATCTAATGGAGGCGTTATTCAGAAACGACGGTCTGATGTCTATCAACTACCAGATTCCAGCTTCAAACAGTGGGAAAGTGCTTCTCCAAAGAAAATGAGCAAAACACAGCGCCACGAGCTTGGACAAAGAGAGCACACGGACAAGGACCACTTGACTTGAGCGACTTGAGCAAGAACACGAAAAGTTTCACAACGAAGAACTAATCCACACTCGGAAAAGTGATGCACACCTCTCTAAAGCCTCGAAGCATCATGACTGTGTCAAGCCACAGCAGGCCCTTCAAGGGCCAACTCAGACACCGAGCAAAGCCCCTGCGCCCCAACCAGGTGTGGATTGTCAAGTCGCCAAAAAAGGAGAGCCCTTTGAAGACAGTCAGCCCCTGTCCGCCTGAAAATCGAAAGTTCTGCTGCAAAAGGTGAAAGGGGCCTTCCTTGGTTGAGCAAGGCATATCAATGTTACACTGCTAATTGGAGCCGGTAGACTCGCCGACATGCGACTTTCTATTGACTAAATGACGATTCGGCGAAACTTGGTAGCGCAGCAACCTCCAACGAGAAAATTCCGGAAGTGCAGACAGTATAGAAAAGAAATGAACAGAGTCTTTCCTGCAACGGAGTCCATCATTGGCAAATGCTCTCACAGCTTCACGTGGAACGGTTTTGCATGGTTTTGCCAAAACACAACGGGTCATCACTTCAAGCCGAACTTGTTACGAGTACTTTGATTTATATATTCTGTAGACGTGTTTCATACATAGTACAGTATAGCGCAGTATACCTTGCAATGAACGATATATAAACGATTGTGTGTGAACAAAGCCGAAATTGCACAGCGTACTCATCAACCAATGTGCTCAGTTGAAGCAGTAATCGCTAAAACCAGGTGAGCGATGAGATTGTACTACTGGGGTGTCGACTTAACTCACATCACTGTGACAAACACTAGGATACACTGGGCATATCACGCCGCTGAAGTCACATCAAGAGCATTGTTCTTTGCAATGATTCATTGGGTAGGCACCGTCCACCTTGCCATACCCCCCACAAATTTACGGCATTCTTAAAGGATAGTCTGACATTACCCTGTAAACCCCGGTGATAGAGGCATCAAGTCTGAATGGGTGGCGTATGAACCATGCACTTCTGGTACCAAACTACACAACTTACACCGAAATAGCCACACTTGATGATAGATGCTTCACATCAGGACCTGGTTTGCTGGTCTGTACAAACCACAACCTGTCACATAGTCACCACTTGAAGCGGGGAACTTTCCAGTCGATCTTAACATCCGCTGTTGATGTAGATGATGATGAGGGGAAGGATGCAAACCTGCAAGGGGACAGCGTCTTGGAAGCCTGCAGTTTTGTAGTAGCAGAAGGGTACAAAGGTCGTATCTAAGCTGCTTGAAAAACATCAACAAAAAATGATACTGCATGACGAAGGCGACTGGGGGGGGCAGAGATTGATATAGATTCATAAAGATTGGCAAACATTGGAGCATGCGAAGGAAGAAGCGCCAACCTCTGCTCTCTCGAGGCAGCTCTACGCGGGGACGGTTGGTGCATGTTTGCATCTGCCCTTTCAAGCTGCTGCTTCAAATATGCGTGGAGATCAGCCGGCACCTGGAGACAATATCAGTTGCTAAGATTTGAAGGCTGGCTGGCTGTCGGGATTCAATTCACCAATCTGTGTCTGACACCCCAACCTCTTTGGCATTTACTCAACAAGCAGTATAATATGTATAATTTGAATGAGACAAAATCTAGACCTCTCAGGCCCTTTGAGGTTGATACAGGATGGATCAAGATATTCTTTGGCTCCGGATGAGGACGTCCACAGCACTAAAACATACTAAAACATACTAAAACCATATCATGGAGAATGACAAGATGTGGCCGAATCTATCCGATACATTCCGATACTTGTTTGTCTTGGGCAGCTCTACTGTGACAGCGTCTTCAGCAACTTATTTCAGCTTGAAGTGAGCCACAAACCCTGACTTGATGCAAGAAAGTCAACAAATGTCGACAAAAAAGTCAACAAACTCAAAATTGCCAAACGAGTTGGCCCCACCTCACGGGAGACTTGGCTCAGGCAGACAACAGAAGGATGCATATTTCCTTGGAATACGGCTGCAACTCGCTGGTCATCCCCTTCATCACCTGAAGCACTGATTCTGCTGTGATAGCGACAGTGCTCTGAGTATACTCAAAAGGCACGTATCTTAGAGCCTTCAAATGCTTTCAACGGTTCCACAGAAACACTTGGAGAAACTTATCTGTACGATTCTGTAGGTGTCTGAGATTGTCTGAGAATCTGACCGAGACAGGACCTCCCAACAACTTGACCAAGAGCACCGTAGACCAACAGGTCACCGCCAGGAAAGCTACAACACGGCCCGGTGTAAAACACTTGCTCTCCATGGTCAAAGCTGCCAGGAATCCAAGGTTTCTCGCCACATACCTCTGTCACTTTGACATCCAAGGAGTCCTTCAGGGTGCTGTTGTAGCATCTTGTACCAACAAGATCCAACAAAAGTATCTTGAAACTTTACCCCAAAGCTAGGGTGAACCTTGGGATGCTGTTTTTTTATCATTCTTGGTCGCTGGACAGCTGAACCTGCTAAATCTTCTGAACCTGTACAGTGCAAAACTCAGCAAAATCATTCATGCGAATTCAACGTCAACTTCCAAAGCAATCCCAAGATATATATTATAATATTATATAATATATAGTGAGAGCCAGACCTTCATATCCCCAAATTTATGGTCCGAGAATGGCTATCGTCAGATCCACTTGTCAAGACATCGGGCAGTGCTCGCTTCCGCCAAAATTTGCAAAATTTGGACATGAATTGCCACTGGCAAATCACATAGATCTGCATGCAGGCATCTATCACTTTCCTACTTCCAGTACTTTTCCTACTTCTAAAGCTGGCAAGGTTTGGACTTTGGTGCAAACGTGGACTCCACAAACGTTGATTGTCATAATGGATGTCAATGCTTTATATGTAGGTCCTGGCCTGGTTTGAAGGGAAAAGCAAGGCGATACCATGACAGAAAGCAGCTCGACCAGTCACCTCCCCGATCTCACCGAAGCTCAACACTCCCTCATTGCAGCTCCTTCTACGTTTCTCATCTGCAAGTATATTGTAGTGAGAGAAACGCGACAGACAAATATAAATCAATTGAACACAATTTCATACAATACAGTACTTGGTCTGTCCTGCTTGGACCACAATAGAATAGTGGCTCTCCCAGTTTGAAACCACCAGGAATAGAAGGTGGTTCGGTGGTGATTTGATTCAGCTCGATACATGCGAAGGCATCTCCGAACTTCACCCAAAGCCTCAGCCGAGCCAGCATGGACCACAAGGTGCTATAAGTATCTATGAAAGCATCTGAAAGCCATGCACTAAGCATCTCAAAGCCGTGCTTTAAGTTTGGACGGCAGAGTTCAAATGGTCAGAATCTTGATGGGAACATTCGGGAAACCTTTCCAAATCTGTCCAATCCACGACGGCCAGTACTTTCACTGCAGCCTTTCGCAGCCACAGGTTGATTTTGCAGAGCTTATGCATTCATTTTTGCAGCACTTTCACACCGCAATCACTTTACTTTGCTCATTCCTAGCAGCCTAGCATCAGTTTTTTTTACGCTTTCGAAGGATAATAATTATTGTCATATATATTATTCTCAGCTTGTCGGATGTGTGTTTGCCTTTCTGATCCTCTCCGGCCTCTCCGGAGTGAAAGATACTGAAAGCTCATGTTCTGTTTCGTAGGGAAGTGTTGATTTGATTTCCACTTGGCTACGCGAACAAAGCAACTCCCTTTCCAGAACGCACGTGTCTGCGAATACTGTATCTGTGCAACAGCTGTTCTGAAAAAAAACAATGGTTTCCCTTCCAAGGCTGGCCAGACACTGTTCGTCATGACTACCATCCCCGGCACATGAGCAACCTGCCACCTTGCCAAAAAGAATGACTGCATGATGCAAGCGGTGAGTTAGTAGCAACGGGTGCTGCAAAAAATGTCTCCCAAAAAGCTACAAGCACCCACCAGGCTTATAAAATCTTATACGTTAGTTCGACGAAAGCATACAGTATGAACACTGTGCCTGGAGCTGTGACATGGTGGAGATTTACAAGTATGCGAAGCTATATCAAGTCCCCGATAAGCGTCAAACATCGTCGAGCCTTCCCTTCGGTTCCAAAGGTCAGAGTTGAACCATCTGGCGCTGTCCAGTTCGGCCAAGCATAGTATACCTTGTCACCAACCTTGGTTGAATAGTATCGATGTTCGATCGACAAATGTAGGTAAACATGTGCACTTGTTCAGCCTGCAAAGTGACACAAACAGCCAGAACTCAGTCAATGAATTCTTTGGCTCACTCAGTCAATTGTTGACTCGCTACCTCGTTCCACTCAACTGAACTCAGCATAAAGCAATTCAATCATTTGTTGCGTCACTCACGTATCTCTGTTCTGTTCTCCGCTCAACTTAATGCGGCTCATCAGCTCAACCAACTCACTCCATTCAGAGTACTGTTCCCGCACTCGCTTGCTCGTTGCTCTCCACATCACTTGCCAAATACAAAATTCAAGGACCAGAAAACCCCGCAGTGTTAAGCCTTCCGACTGTTACGTACGACGTATGATAAGAAGGCGAACGGGTGATCGGATGGAGGAGATTGGAAGCGGTGTTTCGCGACGTTTCTACCTTTTCGCCCACCTGCACCTTCTTTTCTCTGACTCTTTCCCTTCTCTGATCTTCTTTCTTCTTCCTTTCTCTTCTTTGACTCGTCCCACCTCTGCTTTTCCATGTGTCAATATTGTGGAAAGTGTGACTTCTAAATTTCCTTCGATAAGTACTGGATGAACCTTGTAGGTGTAGTCATTTATCCCTCTATATATATACACATTATATGCATATATATACACATATATAATTATAATACATTATAAATATATATATTATACAGTATACTCAAAAACGGCCTCGTTCGATACGCCTATGCGCTTGATCGATAAACAAGAGAACCAAATCAAAATAAGCCTGTGATGCCCATGGCACCCCGTGCCAGGGTTCCCATGAAACCGAGTACCCGAGAAACCTTGGAATCCTGGATACTCCCGGAACCATGCAACTCTGACTTTGTGACATTCTGTGACATTCTGTGACGTTGATGACCTTGGGACCCTTAAAACTTTGAGTCTTGCAGCGCACTGGAACAGCCCTGGAACCCATTAGAACCAAATGACCGGCCCAGGCGGTCCACCGGAGATGGAGCACCATGGAACCCATATCGACTGAGTCCAAGTATGCGGGAGAACTAGTAAGTATGGAACGGTATATTATGCAAACGAATAAACGAAACAACAAACAATAAAGAAAATCAATCCACCAGAACCGTCCTTATAGACCTCACATGATCTCACGCTTCATGTGTAGAGTCTGCCTAGCTGTATGCCATTGCCGTTGATGCACTACGCTTGGCAAAGTGCAGCTCCAATGCAGTTCCTAAGAACCCGCAACGTAACAAATAATGTAACCATGTCAGATAATGTCAGATATGTCAGGCAGCCTGTAAACCACCAGGAATGGAAGGAGCGACTCTTGAAATTTCCACCAGGTGCATGGCCACGGGCTGTTTGTTGCCTTTGAACAGTACAGCAACACGCTCCTTGTCCTTGGCATGTGCATATCTTGGGATCAAGACGACTCATCAGATCATTTTCAATGTCAATATCAATATATATATATATATATATACACACATAATTATACATATATATTCTCAATATATATATATATACACACATAATTATACATATATATATTCTCAATATGATAAAATAGACACCTGCCACTGTTACACCTGCCTGTATCCACTGTATCCAGCAAACCTTCTGGCCGCTCATATACACAACAACGCTGCTTTCTTCAAACTAGCGACCATTCCATCGCAAACATCTGTGCACCCAGCAATTTCCCCTTCTTGTCCAAATTGAAGGCGATCACCATCTGCTAAGGCCCAAGCACTGCCTCACTTATTGTAGAACTTTGACTGAGAGACTCTGAGCAAGAAAGAAAGAAAGAAAGAAAGAGAGAAAGAAAGAAAGAAAGAAAGAAAGAAGGGAAGAAAGAAAGAAAGAGAGAAAGAGAGAAAGAGAGAAAGAGAGAAAGAGAGAAAGAGAGAAAGAGAGAAAGAGAGAAAGAGAGAAAGAGAGAAAGAGAGAAAGAGAGAAAGAGAGAAAGAGATAAAGAGATAAAGAGAGAAAGAGAGAAAGAGAGAAAGAGAGGGGCGCGAATGGATTTCACCCAAAGTCCTTGCGAGGCACAACTCATATCCAGATCTTCGTCAAAAGAAGGACTAATCCAAATCAACAAAGCAAACACATCGAAAAATGAAAAAAATGTGTCTGCAGGTTTTGCATGCAATGATTTGACATTCTCTGACAAGCTGCCGCACCAGTATACCCGTTCACCCAGTCTGTATCCACCAGGTATAGAGAGCTCGGAAAAAAGCAAAGCACGGCGAATCCGCTTGGCATTCTGATGGCCAACAAACTTGATGATTAAACGATCTGCCTCCTCGGCAAGCGCACAATTGAGTGCACAATCAACAGTAATGCTAGTAATGCAGCAATATGCAGCACTAATGATCAAATTGTCATAAATTGTCACAATGGAATCAGACTGGTTCAGATTGAAAAAGAGTATCAATCAATAGGATTAAATTAAAGAGTGCCAGAATAGTGGCATCACGGAGACCAAGGTGCAGTCTTCGAAGAGCCACAAGTGCCAGAAATCTCTCCAACATCACCAAAGTTCAGAACATCGCCATTTTCATACTCTCCTTGGGAGTGGTGATAGCGATATATAGGCGGGCAAGCAGCAGATCTGAAGCGCAAGGCGGCTCAAACTGCCAAGTATCTTTTAGGACCTCCATAGTGAAGCTTTGTGCCTGACCGGAAAGGAACAGCTGCAGAGGGCGCACTGGCAATCACTTGAAAATAAATCGTTTATGATCAGGGCAAGTGAATGGTGAAAAAGCAGTGGGGCTTGGTGCTGTCTTACCTTGTCTATTTTTATCTATGGTCATTCCAGTAAAATTCTCCCAAGCTAGGCACATGTTCGATCCTGTTAGGTGTATTTCTGTCCCCAATTCTATGGATGGCTGATTGCATTGGTGATCACCCTCACTGGACACTCAATCCCTCCAGGCGATACAAATGATGTCAAGCCACCCACGCTGCAGTCATCCGGAAGAGGCTGCTGAGGCAAAATATCTGCGAAGTTCAAAAGAAGAAGACCTGGCAAAAAAGTGTTTCTGCAGCTACCTATATCCGGCTAGCACAATGCGTTCATCCTTTCAAGCGAACGATGCATTTTACTCCAAGACTTCAACACTTCGAGCATTTTCGAGCCTGCCTATGATTGCATCTCTCATTACTGGGACACTGTCACAAAATTACTGGGTCTGTTCACTTTTGATTTTCTCACTCGGCAGCATTTTGACCAATACTGCTTGGCGTTTGGGGTCAAGCCTGGGGTATCCCCAACGCATTCACTGCATACCCAAACATGCGACTTTGCAAACTTGGCAACAACCTATCTTCCCATAGTTCTGATCCCGTCCATCTAGTCTAGTCTTCACTGTCGCCAGTGAAGCATACATTTCTGGATTGCTGATGTGTGTGTGTGTGTCCCGCTTGCTCAAATTTGTGCGACAGAAGCATGTCCGCCATCACAGCTTCAGGAAAATGCGAGCCTTTCTCACCAAAATCGACCACAACCTCAATCACATGACTGCTTGACTCAATATGGGCAATTCTTACAAACAAAAGTCTAGTATTAAATATATAATAATGTATACACAAGAGACATTACATCAGACTGGCACATATTTGCCCACTGTCCCATTGGCAAAATCCGAATCAAAACATGCGACTGCGGCGAGTCAGTCTAGTCTGACAAGCTTCTCCGCGGCATGTTGTTTTCCTAAGTTGAAAGATGCATTGCTGTGAGATGCTTGGCACCACGGTACACAAAAATCACAGTGTCAGTCCCAGACTTCTGGGCAAGTTTCTTTACCAATCCACGATCACCAAAGGCTGGCAGGTTGTATGTTCCAGATCTGCCAAAGAACCTGGCTGAGTTCAAAATTGCAATCGTGATTCAATCACATGTTGTACTGCGTATCACATGATGTGTCATTGCAAAATGTTTCATCTAGACTCAGAGTCCGGTGGATCTAATAAATTCATATGAATTCTCTTTCGTTTCACTCGTTTCAATCCAAGTTCTTTTCGCTGCGGACGTCGAGAAGCACTTCATCTCCAGGTCTGTAGCAGCGAGCGGAGCAGCCGAAGCAGCCGCCCATGAGGAAAGCATCATGGCAAGGCGACAAGGCAGGGATACACTCCCTGCTGGGCCTGCGTTCCAGGTATTTCTAGCAGGTTCAATGGTTTAACATAGTTTAACCAAGTTTGACCATATGTTCTGGTTGCTTTTCTCAGTCTTCCAAATTTCTCTGTGTAGTTTAGTGAAAGTGCACAAGAATGCAAAAGCTTTAAGTATTCTCAACATAAAAAAAAACTGTGAAAATGCATGTCTTCCACTTGCTGGCCGCGTCCATGGCCAGAGTAGGCGGTACAGTTTTCGAAGGCCAAATGGCAGTTGGATGCACTTCATTCAGTCTCGGGAAGTTGATTGAGCTAAAGGCACTTGGAAAGCGCTCCAAAGCAATCTCAGCAATCTCCTCTCCGTCTCCCTCTGTTGTTTTGGTCTTGGGATGTCAATGTCGGTTCAAAAGGCACCTCGTCCTGATAGTACCAGTTCCTCAGACAGGTCGAGATGGACAAGGTGGACTTAGGTGGTGAAAAAGTGGGCCAAGCTGGCCGGCCAAGGCGCTTATGAGCGACGTCCAAGTATTCACCATCTTTTTGGGCGTGAGCCCGTGCCTCCAAGGAGCTTCAAAGCTGAAAATGCTCAAATCATTGACCGAACTTGGAAAGACATTGAAAGACTGGAAATATTTATAAAATATCTGAAAAGACGCAAAAGGCAAAGCTTTTCAGTCCCAAAATGCCTTGGTCAAGAAGCTGAGACCCCCAAGCTCAAACTCCAGGAAGCGGAAGCACTGGTCAAGTTCGCCTTGCAAAACAAGCTGTTCAGCGAACATTCAGTGTAGTCACCTTGTTGCACTATGCATTGTAAATCCGCAAACAAACTGCCCCTACCTGCCGTCGATCCAGCAACTTGCAACAGACCGGTGCAACTAATGGTCCTGCGAAATCTGGAACATGTCAAACACACAAAGAAACCCCAAAAGCCGAAAAAGATTTAGAATTCTGCTGGCATTCAAGACTCGCAACACAATTGCCATTGTATGTGAAGACATCAGCGGCTTTGAGCTCAATGATGCAGAATCTCATCGAATGTTGGTAATAAGGCCCGCATGGGGCTTTGGGCTTTGGTATTGACGTCCACGTTTCGATTGTCACGATCTGACATGTTTTGCCTCATTTTGTGAGGTTTTCACCCTCTGGCTTTAGAATGTTGTTCACGGGCAACATCTTGCCTGGTCCGACTGTCTCCCTCCATAGCACGCTGCAGAGCAGGCTTGAAAGTACCATGGTTTGAGACCTGGCTGTCCCGGAGACCACGGCAGAATTGTGGCACAGGGCCGTCTGAAAACCCAGTGGAATTCCTTCCAGAATTTTGTTCCTCAATAACAACAACGACTTAAGAAACTATAGATGATTGGAAACCAATGTGACTTCAGAGGGGAAACGTTGTCAGGCCTCCTCTCGTTTCCAGCCACCACGGTAGGGGATCCTCAACTGGTTTCTTGACTGCCAGCAATTTCAAAATGTTAGCAGGAAAACCAAAAGACACACTGATGGTCGGCTATGAGGGAAACATAGGGAAACAATTGTTTGTAAGGGCCCCACTCTGCCGTCATCTTTTCAACATCCAGGATTTTTTCAAGGACCAATCCCTGAAGAAGCAAGGTTCAAAGAGATGAAAACGACCTGTTCACTCTCAGTTCTTTCAATGTTTTAAGACTTTGATCTTCACAAGGCCTTTCCAGAAGGAGACTTCGAGATCTTCACCAAATCGACGGCCGAGGAATGCTGGCACATTGACAAACTTGTGGATTTCGAGCATCGGCAACTCAAAAGGTTATGTGTATATAATATATATATATAACTTAACATACTGTACATATGTATCAGATGTGGCATGGAGAGGAAACACAAGACACAAACTTCACAAAAATCAATGATGTATATAATAGTAAGCATATACTGTACATATCTGTACATCATATAATAGCATGCCTGTGTCTTGTGCCTGAAAGAGGTTGGACATAAATCAAGTACCAGTGCCAGCATCCGAGTGTCCTCCTACATTGACCATTGCACGCACTAAACTTTAGACATCTTTTGGCATCTTTTCGCTAAGGTTTGAGGCCATTTTTGCTCATGGTTCAGGTCCTGTGCAACACGTTCAATATTGCCAACAGGGAATGTGGGCCTCGTCAGCCCTGAACTGTGAATACGGCAAAATGTTTTTTTTTGTACCTTTTAACCTGTTTGGGCATGTCCATCGGAGGAACAAAAATGCAGTGCAAATGACTTATAATTTCGCGAAGCAGCCAAACAAAAGGAACTAAAGATGGTCAAAAGCAGCTCGACACAAAGGCTTTGGGGTTAGCAATGCCTGTATCCAACAGGCCGTGGTTCGTGATACAGACTTATTGGTAGGTTTGGATTTTGTGTCCTAATCCCAACAGAAGCTGCGACCCCGGCGCAGGATCAAAGGCTCAAATGATGTCAAATGTGTATGCTGATAGACGTTGATTATGTTGTGCATGTTTTATATAGATCGAAATTGGATTCAATTCATCTCAAAACAAACTATATGATAATCTCCTTTGCATTGGCGCAACAAGGGGCTCTAATGTTTTGCTTCGGTTGCTATTAAGTGGTCATATCCCCATCTTGGAACTCTGTCCTGACTTGTCATGTGGAAACCGGTTTCTAAGTTATAGAATATAGCTAAGATGAGGGTGTTACTAGGGTGTTACTTTTGATGTTCATTCTGAATTGGCCAAATATCTAGACTGGATTTGACTGGACAAATCAGGTTGGTTGTCCAGTTTCTGTTTCTAAGCAACCAAATAGTACCGCTGGGGTGGACAAAAATATTGGAAATGCATGGACGTACAGATTTCATCAGATTTCAATGGCAAATGCCCTCTCTGCCCCTCTTGAACTTCCTTGCGTCCACCTGCCCCTTCTTTGTGAGAAAAGGAGTCAAGGTCTCGCTGACAAAGTCCAAGAGGGTCCTTGGTCGGACTGCTTTAACCGTTGACACTGCAGTCACTGCATTGCTGGATGCGTGCGTCGTCTAGACACAGTGCGGCTATATCTAAAAACACATACAAAATATTGCAAAATAAGAGTTCGACACTGCAGGCGCAGGTGGTGTTTCAAATGCCGGGCAGATCAGTCTAGCTATGTGCATGAGCGAAAGATTTCTGAGTAGCAAGCAAGAGGGATCCCCGGTCACAGATGATGTCTTTCTCCAAAGAAGATGGGGCTGCCTAGTACATGCTGCTGGAAGAGATCTTGTGTTTGACTCATTCGACTCCGTAATCACCTATGTATATCGTCTTAAAAGTTCCAAGTAAATTTCAAAGTATTGGTAGGTCGCTTAGTCAGCTGCCGTCAGCGTCTTGGGAAATCTTCAGTCGTCTTGTGGGTTTCGTTGGCACAGGACAAGAACAACCGTCTTTCAAAAACAATAGTAGGTACAGTATCAATCAAACTGGCGGGACTCACGGGCAAGACTTCTCTGGCTGGTGCACTAGACTGAAGGGCCCTGTGATCCATAATTAATGGCCCGGCGAACACACGAGTAAACACGTGTACAAGAGTTTCACAGCGTGTATCGCCTATAGAAAACACACACAGATTCACACACAACCTACTTTACAGGTGTGAAGCTGTGAGAACATGAAATCAACCTGATTCCTCCGATTTCTTCATCCTTCCGGGTCAATTCTACACAATATATCGGTTCGTATGGAGAACCTTCAAGATCAGGTTTCATGCGTTTGGTCAAGCAATCCGCCACCGTAGTAGAGGTATGTATCCAGAGAAGCTTGTCACCACCATCGGGAAACTTTTCAAAGATCTCCATGTTTTCCTCGAGAAATGGCTGCCGCATCGATCTCATCTCGATCTCCACAGGCGTTTATCTTGTATCCCCGACAAGAAATTAGGAGTTCAAGTGGTTCACCAGCGACATGCAATCACTGAGATGTAATTGGGGGCAGTGAGCTCGAGCGGCTTCTTCCCAGTTTCTCCCGTTCGCCGGTATGAATCCTTTCATCTCTACGATCAAGGCATGAATGCAATCTCCAGCTTCCATGCTAGATTGCAGGCTATAGGCTTCACATTGTGAAGTCGCTCTGCACGCTTGTTTGGTTGTCGTTGAGGAGAAAGAAAACTGAGCATACCTTGAATATAATATATAGTTTATCTTAGTCGCTTCATCTGTCTGACAGGCGCCAGAAAGCGGGAGCGTCCTTGCTGTGATTTGATACCGCCTGCGTTAGCAAACGATACATCCGAAACAGAAAGAGCTCCAAGTTCTCCCCATGTCATCAACTCAACTCAAAGGGAAGATTCCATGGCACCATGTTGGAGCCACCATGGAAATCACACTTGAACATGCTGGATCATTGTAGTGATCCGTCGGGAGCTGAATCCCACAACGTGCAATTAAACAAGATTATTGATGCCAGGTAGACCTCCATGTAGCAGTATACAATCTTTCAGATGAGGTTCCAATTATCGAGATCGTGAACAAAAACTTGACCTAAAGGTTCCAATCTAGATCAACGAGCAGAAACTTGACGAAAAGCCCCCAAATAAATAAGTTGTCCAGGTGGGGTTCTCGGCTTAGCCTTCGCCATGTCCGTAAAAATACCATGTAAACGAAATTTGAAATGACGTCAAAGGAAATCGCAGATTGCGACAATCGTGTAGAAACAAAAAAGCAATTGGGGTGCTAGCCCCGTGCCATTGCAGTAAATCTCGAAAAGCAGATACGTCGATGAGCGTCCCCATCGATATCACAGGCAACTGATGAGTGTCTTTGTTAGTGCCGGTCTCATCAGTGCCTCCGGCACCCCCTGCATCTACTGATGGTTCAACGAGATAGGGGTTTTACAGTTTTACATCTGTTCAGATGTTCCACACACACACACAGATTCACAGTGGGTAAGAGCCACTGGGCACCAACAAGTGCCTTCTGGTATCAAGACAGTACACCATTGACTGGGAGAAAGCTGGAGGCGGTGTTCAGATGTTCCACACACACACACAGATTCACAGTGGGTAAGAGCCACTGGGCACCAACAAGTGCCTTCTGGTATCAAGACAGTACACCATTGACTGGGAGAAAGCTGGAGGCGGTCCGAGCGACATGGATACAAAAACGATGGAAAGTGTGCATCTTACATTAAGCCTGACGCAAACAAATTGATAGATTGGGCTTGGCTTGGAAGCTTGGCTCCGGCCTCTTTTGCTGTCTCGTAAAGGGTGCACTTCTCGTCCACATACCTGGAGAATTTGGTTTATAAAAGGCTGTTATGAGTGCCCTGTTACGAGTGCCCTGTTTCGAGCGCCGGTGTGTGCCACTATGCACCAGTAAGTCATTCCAGCGCCTGCGCCCCCTAATTTGCAAACACTCTCCAACTACACAAAGGGAGCACTTCACATATGCTTCATCTTCAACAGAAGGCCGCTTGAAGCCCTTGGCTTTCAGAGTTGGTCCGTTGCTCTTTTGCAAACCATCTCGGTTGGGTGACTAATAAGGTCGGAAGACTCTGCCATGCAAGGCGCAAAGCTAAAGTTGGGCTGGTGGCACTGGGCTCTCAGACAGGTTCCTTTTCCAAACGCGTGCCTCGCTTGATTGGCGAGTATGTTGGGACCTCAGGGATTTCGAATATTTCGACAAGCTCAAGACACCTCAACAGGAAGTGGCTGTCAAATGTTGTCAACATTTTGCACATGAGACGGAAAGATCCGAAGAACTTTGCAAGAGACTTTGGGTGCGCTGCAGTTGCCGGGATTGAAATCTTTCCGGCTCCAGTGACTTGGTACGAGCCCACCTGATCAGCATACCATGAGAGCAAAAGTCGTGAAATGACAGCGATTGCGAATTTCCTTAAGCTTTGTATCATCGTTCAATCATCAAGTCGTATCATTGCCTGGAGCATTTCAAAAGTCACTTCCATGTCGAGAAAGCTGTTCCACCATCTTTGGTTCTGTTTTCTTTTTGCCGAACTCCTTTCCTGCATTTTTTCCTACCGATGTCACCAGAAATGCAAATCATTGGTCTGTTAGCAGGTCCCAGAGAAGTGGAAGTCAACCGGACGTACAATAACATGGATGCAGTAGCCTCAAGCCGAGTGAAACACCAGAGATGGCAAAGCCTCTGTGACGCTGTCAGCACTCAGCTTGGCAAAGTCTGCCTTGTAGAAGTCCTTCAGCGTAGTGCCAACAAAGCACAGACACACAATGCAGTCAGAAACAGAAAGTGACTACATAATCAATAGGTTTAAAAAAAATCCGCCCGCACCGAAGCTTAATAAGCGCGGTAGTTTAGCAGCGAGTGATAGGGACAGATCTGTCAGACTGGTACAGCTTCAGCTGATAGGGGGCGCGTTTTCGACCCAGCCGGTCGCCAAAAAGTGCACGGATTTGCACATTTTGCAGATCGGCACAACATCGCCCGAATGCACCGTTTCGAGGTCAACTTCCGCCAACAAGCCCCCAACCCCAGCCCAGCATGACCAATTGGCGCCAACTTGGGCTCCAGTTGGGTCCAAGACAGCGCAACTTGGGGCCAAGTTGGGCCTCTTTGGGGGCATTGGGCCCAACCCGGGCCAATTTTGCAGATTCAATGCGACACGCTGAACACTTGCGTTTTTACTGCTATTTCCACCGTTTGGGGGTTCATGCAAGGCCATGTTGCCCACATTGGCCTGTCTTGGGCCCAACTTCGGCGCCCTACAGTCAAACGACAAACTCATGCCTAACTCATGCCTGGGTCAAAACCTGCTAGTAAATCACCATGGAATCGCTGTTTCAAGAAACTCATGCCTAAGTCATGCCCAAATCTTAAAACCCCATGGAATCGCGTATGTATAAGAAGAATGTTTCCACACTTGGGAAAATCAAATGTTCGCAAAAATCCGTCTACAGTTGCATTCTACCGTTCATGTTTCTGGGGTTGAGAAATACTTGCCGCTTCGGTCCGCTGACTTTTTACGCTTTGCTGACTCTTTTCGCTTTGCTGCTCTCGGTCCATCAGTGCCTTCGCTCTGCCATCCGTGATTCACAACAACCAACCTCTCCTATAGGTTTCCTATTTTTGAAATCACGACGTGCCGAACGACGTCCGAACGACGTAGCAAACGACGTCAAAAAATAACAAGAAAGGCTCTCTGCCCACCCGCCTGCGGAACCACATAAGAAACTAAAACCGACACGAAGACACAACAATGACCCTTCTCACCTCCATCTCAAGCAACACGCTCAAGTGCCACAATGCCGCGTTGAGCACGCAGTGAAAAGTGAAAATGGCTGCCGCAGCACACTGGAAAGAAAAAGATAGAAACACCAACTCATCGCTACACTCACATCCAGTTTGACTTGGTATGGAAAAGGTTACTCTTGATGCTAAACACAACCTAAACGCAAGATTTATTAACAATGTGGAAAAGGTACTCTTGATGCTAAACACAACCTAAACGCAAGATTTATTAACAATATAGAAAAGGTACCCTTGATGCTAAACACAACCTAAACGCAAGATTTATTAACAAAAACTATTCCAAAGACCAAATCCAACAAAACATTGCAATTCCTATGCGTTTTACTAAAAAGGCACGACTTCTCAAATCAAGTGCTCCCCAGCTATTTACGATGATTTCCAAATTTTAGGCACGACTTTAGCATTCCACTGTATGCCCCCACACAGGACCAAGTTACACAAGCAAACGTGCCCAAGTTGCGCCATGCTGGGCCAGTTGGGCTCAAGTTGGAGCCAACTGGCCCGAGTTTGGCGCAAGTTACGCCCAGGATGGGCCTAAATGGGCTCCCGTTCGGCCCACTTTAAGGCCAAGGGCGGCCCCAGTCGGCCTTTGGTTGGGCCAAGTAGACCCGCTTCTTTCCTCTCTCTGTTCCCTGGGTGCGGGCGGTTCTCGTCGCGAAGCGACTTGAATCATGAAAGTGCAGCATTGAAACAAAACATTACAAAACAAGATCTGTAGAAGTCCATAAACACAACATGCAGCGCATGCGGGTGGTCCTGAGTCTTGAAGATACTCATGGCCTGGCAGGTGTTCATTCACATCGTTTGAATCACGTGCATCACATCGGGAGAGGCCCATCTACTCCTGCGACGTATTTCTGCAAAGCTTCTGGGATCAAGAGCAAGTCAAGAAATCACCGAAATGCACCGTTCTCGCCTCTGTAACGTGCCCCAGATTCATGCGGGCAGGCTCCTTGCGATCGCACTATACACAAACAATCCACACATGAATTTAAACGTTCAAAATTCTAAACGTTCATTGCAAATGATACAGTGCAAACCCGAAAACATAACTTGCAGTCGTCTCCCTGTCTCGAAGACGTGGATCGATTAGATTCTTCTTGTAGCCTTAACGCTGAAGGCATCACACATTGCCAAATAGATGAAATGAATGGTTAATCGGTAAATGAATAAAACATAACCTAAAACCCAACAGCCGGAGACCTCACGAACTCAATCACAAATTCAAGGCAAAAGGCGCAAAATGTTTTGCGCAACCTAAAATAATCAAAGACAACACATCCATCAAAATCAGATCAGCATCTCTCTGCTCAGGAGGTTTCCGCGCTGTCCGTAGTAATAGTTTCTAACTCGCTCTCTTGTTAGGATTTCTTCGTCCCTGGCAATACAGACAATGCTACGACATCGCACAAGTTTTCCTGTCATCCAAAAAGAAGCGAAACACATGTGCAAACGCTGGCTCACCGCCAAACACGTACAACAAGCATTCCAACTTCCGGTCGCAATAAGCCCAGAAGACCAGTTGTTGCTCATCCTCTCTTTGATGTCGCGAAAACCGACAATTCTTTGTGGTTTCTGTTTCTGCCGTCTTTGGGCATGCCTCCACCGCTGCATCAGACAAATTTGACGGTTTTCGAAGGATGCAAATCTTGGGCTATATGTTTTTTTTTCTGTGTTTCCATCTTAATCTGAACACATTCTGAAGATCACCTGCTTCCTGCTTTTCAATGTTCAAACAGCACTTGCTTCACAACAGCAGCTGTCGATGGGACAACTTGCGACCAGCAGACTTCTGTTCTGAGGTATTCGAAGGTAGGTTTGAGTTCTTGGGCCAAGTGAACAGAACACCTTGTCATTCTGATCAACGGGCGGCCTAATGACTCTTGCTCGTAGCGTTTTTGCAGCAAAAGCCGTCATGGCCTTAGCCAAATTGCACACAATCAATGCACGAATTGAGCATGGCGACACAAATCTTGCATGAGTGCGCTCTCAATTATGATGTTAGCTTTATGAAGCCAAATTAAAACAGTCTGGCTGGCTGGCCTTCATTCTACTCGGACAAGTGCTGCACCAGACAGTGTGACGTATCGCCGTGGCTGTGATAGCTGGGACCAATACCGCCATTGCAAGTGTCGAACATGTGCCTTGCTTGACAATTGAGAAGAGCAGCAAATCAAAATAATCAAATCAAAATGAAGCCAACTGCACACATGCCATGCAGCTAGCACTTCGTAAGCTCACTATGTACTCTGTGAGTGTTCTATTAGGGGCCGCTCCGAAACCTTCGATTCCATCAGGCAAACGACGCGGCCTTGCAGGTGCACAGCACAACAGACGTTGTTGTAGCGGTGTTTTTTCACCACAAGAAAAATATAATGCTGAAACTCTACACGAGATGTGGGCACTATCTCCAGTTCACAGACTTTGGTTTTCAGTTGAATTTTGCAAAACCCTATGCCATGCACTTTTCATAATGTTCTGCAAGCTGCAAACAATTGCAAACTTGACAAACTTAGAATTAGCTAACCAATGCTATCCTCTCTTTTTCCTGGGCTGTGACATATAACCCTTGAGAATCAATGTCTACGTCAGCCTCTCGGCTTTACAGGTCTAAAGTTGCACCCGAATATCAAGAAAAAGGACCTCCAATTCTATAGTCTACCCCGATAGGGAGGCCTTTATGCGTGTAACTATGTAGATAAATAATGATATATAATTAATTAATTAATGATATAAAAATAGCTTGCTGGATTGATGTCGATCGGGCATTAGATATAGCACAGAGAGCGCAGAGCCACTTCTAACAGCCTGAATTGGCTGAGTCCTTCAGAAATGTGGTCACTGAAAGAAAGAAGAGGCGCTACTGTTTCCCACCGTAGGAGCAAAGTGGTTGGTTGGGAACAACTGCTGCCAGGTTTCCAACCCCCGGCTTTTGCCAATCCCTAGCTTTTTCTTAAGGAATGAGTTGACTGCCGCAATGCTTTCAACTTTTGTTCGATGGCTGCAGAAACCTGAAAAATACAACGCGAGAAACTCTTTGCCGTCCTTGCCCTTTTCTTGTCTTTGCAGTTAGAGATTTAAGCCCGAAATGGTGGCAATAAAACTGCGCCCAAGGGGCATGGTGCACAGTCTGACTCAGCGGCTTCATGCCCCCACGGTATCAGGTTTCAGCTCTAAGGCAAGTGCTCAAAGTCATTCTGAGTTGGAGGTAGCCTGTCCGAAAATGCGAAAGCAAACAGGCTGGCCGCTGGCCAAACATTTGACTTGTAAATACTTTGAATTGACTCTCGGCATGTTATCTCTGAATTTCGGCCTCATGAAAAATATAAAAATACTGTAGATAGGCGCTCACCCACAGACTGTGGAGCCAGCTGCCAATCTCTACGGATTTCATGTCCATTCCGTTTCTTCGATGCCAACTGGTAGGGTTTGACATTCCAGTAGTTTCAACTTCTCAGAGTTTCCAACGAATTAGATACTGTATTTTGCGGACGCAAAAAGTGGTACAGTACAATCAAAATAGCCAGGGCAATGGAATCGCAAGCATGCAGACCAGCCCAGCAAAACAGTAGATAGGATAAGACAATATCTATATAATATTATATAATCCCGTTCTGCCTCGGATTTGGTCTCGAGACAATGAAGCAAGTAGGCAGACAAATGGCCTGTGTCAACAAGCCAGGCTGTCAAAATCCACTTCAAATCTTGTCAACTCTCTAATTAGCAGCTAGCTGCAAGGCATCCATGATCAAGACCCTGGTGCCACGGCTAAGGTTGGCGCCAACAGAAGGCACCAAGGTGCCAACAGTGCTGGCCTAGCCTGCCTTCAGGAGTTGGATGCATGATACAGCCGTTGAACGACAGGGCTAAGCATGGCTCAACGAGGCTCAACATGGCTCAAAAGTTGAATGCGCTACAGCTTCCCATGTTTCTCACCAGCTTAGTCGGCGGCTCTGACACAGCCATTGCGCCACAGGATAGGACGGAAAACTGGAGGCGAGAGCCTCCGGGTCTAGCCATCGAACCAAAAGGAGCAGGCGAGTGAGAGCAGTGTTTTTAAGCTCTGACATAGGGGCAAGCCATGTACCGTACTTCCAGATACTTCCAGTGTAGCCAAATGCAACAGCTGTGGAAACAAGAAGCGGTATCTCCATTTGAAGCTCAATCGATGTAACCTGGTGTTTCCCAAACATATATAAATAGAGAAGCAGCCGAGCCAACTGGAACACTAAGTGGGCCGATGCTCTCTTTCCATATTTCTGATTCTGGAAATAGGTAAGGATGACGCAAAGTCGTTTCGCGTCTTGGGTTCGAAGGATTGCCGAAGTAGATGACCAGACTCTGATCAAAATAGACAGAACAAGATGCACAAAACACAGCACATGTGACGAAGACCGCTCGATCATTGTGTGACGCGGGCTTAGGGATTGAGAGTCCTTCGAAGTGATTGACCACCAAACACACCTGTCCCTGAGTACTGTACAACATTGAACCTAAAGACTGAAAACCAAGTTACTGCCTCGTGTCATTTTCACGCCTGTGACATGTGTTCTGAACAGATTCCAAGGCACTCCTGCTCTTGGGACCTAGAATGATTGGTCAAAGGTCGCTGCGATTAAAAGTGATGATGTTCCTCTGCTGTCATGCAAAGACCATCAAGAAACAAACGTGCACAATTAATTCCTGCATAGAAACGATAATTTTTGAGCCTGTTGCCCAACTGAAGGTCTCACAGTTTTGAATGCGGAAAGGCCATCCTAGCAACATACTCCGGATAATCTTCTGGACCCTCCTGAGAAGCACGGTTGACAAAAGGTCAGACTGCGCAAAGCAACAAGCTCTTACTTCACTGGGTTCTCTATTTCAGGTTTCAGAATACATAAATAAATCATGAAGAAAAATTGCATCAGGAAGCCATCACATAGTCACATATTACATGGTTTTGTGCCAGTCAGCAGTCAGTTGGGCACACAGCGGGCAAACAGCGTAGTGGTTCAGGCGCGTGTGACAAGATTCCTGATGGATTCATCATATACATACACATGCGTTACTATATCTATACATATTTATAGTTTTCTAAGTCTGTATGAGGAATTACATGTATATACATATGTGTATAAATACAAATGTAAATACAAACATACACATATGTATGTGTATATATAAATATATGTATATACATATGTATGTGTATAAATAAATATATGTATATACATATGTATGTGTATATATATATATGCGTTATATATATTGTATTATGTATGTATATATATATACACATATATCTCTTTCTCCCTCTACGTATGTATATGCATATATATATATATATACTCACCAACATGTTTCACCCTCTGCGGCTGCCTTTCCGCCTCAACTGTGAGGCTATCCCTGACGGTGGCTGTGGCTAAACCTAACTACCAAGCCACACAAAAGAGGTCGGCTCTTAGGGTAGGGAGGGTTGGGGAAAACAAAACAGCTCAACTGCCACAACTTGGGGCCAAGCCCACTTGAACCAAATTATGGCAGTTCCATAAAAAACAAAATCATGTGCGCCCAGAGCCTGCCCAAACTCAACACATGAGATAGATATTTTTTACAATATACATCATGCTCAGTATACCGTTACATTTACTTCAGGATTTGACAATCCGTCGGCCTGTGGGCGTCTGATTGGAAGGTGTTGTTCCTGTTTCTGTTCTTGGCTTGAACTTGTTCCTTTGTTCTCTTGCTACGCATTTCTCCGTCTGAGTCGTGTCCACCCCCCGTTCCCCCCTCCCAAGCATCAGTGTATGTGTAAGTATGTGTATGTCTATTGCTACTACTAGTAGTGCCGGTAGCTAGCGAAATTGATGAAATTGCTTACAGCACTACAATCGTCTACCGGTACTGGTCACGGGACTTACACAGTACTAAACTGATCGACCGGTACTCATTTGGTATGGTATGCGGCCAAGTGGTTGTTAAAGTAGGCACTTACCAGTCAAGTTGTTTCTGATCTACGGTTCTGTCTTCGTCTCCTCTTCTTCCTCTTCCTCCTCTTCTTCCGCTTCTTCCTCTTCTTCCTCTTCTTCCTCTTCTTCCTCTTCTTCCTCTTCTTCCTCTTCTTCCTCTTCTTCCTCTTCTTCCTCTTCTTCCTCTTCTTCCCTCTTCTTCCTCTTCTTCCTCTTCTTCCTCTTCTTCCTCTTCTTCCTCTTCTTCCTCTTCTTCCTCTTCTTCCTCTTCTTCCTCTTCCTCCTCTTCTTCCTCTTCTTCCTCTTCCTCCTCTTCTTCCTCTTCTTCCTCTTTCTCCTCTTCTTCCTCTTCTTCCTCTTTTTCCTCTTCTTCCTCTTCTTCCTCTTCTTCCAAACCTTCCTCTTCTTCCTCTTCTTCCTCTTCTTCCTCTTCCTCTTCTTCCTCTTCCTCCTCTTCTTCCTCTTCTTCCTCTTCTTCCTCTTCTTTCTCTTCTTCCTCTTCTTCCTCTTCTTCCTCTTCTTCCTCTTCTTCCTCTTCCTCTTCTTCCTCTCTCCTCTTCTTCCTCTTCTTCCTCTTCTTTCTCTTCTTCTCTTCTTCCTCTTCTTCCTCTTCTTCCTCTTCTTCCTCTTCTTCCTCTTCTTCCTCTTCTTCCTCTTCTTCCTCTTCTTCCTCTTCTTCCTCTTCTTCCTCTTCTTCCTCTTCTTCCTCTTCTTCCTCTTCTTCTTCTTCCTCTTCTTCCTCTTCTTCCTCTTCTTCCTCTTCTTCCTCTTCTTCCTCTTCTTCCTCTTCTTCCTCTTCTTCCTCTTCTTCCTCTTCTTCCTCTTCTTCCTCGTCTTCCTCGTCTTCCTCGTCTTCCTCTTCTTCCTCTTCTTCCTCTTCTTCCTCTTCTTCCTCTTCTTCCTCTTCTTCCTCTTCTTCCTCTTCTTCCTCTTCTTCCTCTTCTTCTCCTTCTCCTTCATCTTCATCTTCATCTTCATCTTTCTTCTTCTTCTTCTTCTTCTTCCTCCTCCTCCTCCTTTTCTTCCTCTTCGTCCTCTTCTTCCTCTTCGTCCTCTTTTTCTTCTTCTTCCTCTCCTCTCCTCTTCTCTTCTCTTCTTTTCTCTTTTCTTCTCTTCTGCTTATCTCTCCGGCTTCCACCTAGCATGCACATCAACCTCCCTTGGGGCAACCCCTCTCCGCTTCCACCCTGCCCCCTTCCACGCAGTAGTCTGCTGTCAAGCTGGAGGCTCATACATACTACCTGGTGCTACTTTACTGGGTCGGTACTAGTTTGGTATAGTGTCAATAAGTTGTGACGGAAAGCACTTGCTACACAAGCTGCTTCTGTTTTACGACTCTGTCTCCTCTGCTTCTCTCGCCGGCTTCCACCTAGACCTAGACTGCACATCAAACTCCCTGGGGGCCACCTCTCTGGGGCCGGTGGGCTTGCCGCAGGCAATTGAATATCAGATGCTGTGTCCTGCTCTCGCCAACATCGTCGATACGAGCTGACAGCATCAGCCAGCCGAATCAGCGGACCGAATCTGTCTTCTCCAGACCCTGCCAATGCCAAGGTATCACAAATCTCTACGCACAGTTGGTGTCAAGTAGAAAGCCGCCAAAAAAAAAGCAATGGAAATCAGAAAGCAACTGGAGTGCATACTAAATTTTATATACCAGTAGTACCCGTACGGGGCGGGGCGGAAGTTGCCTTAGGGTTATACTATAAGACCTTTCTCATCTATAGAACTTGCATGCGCAGTGCGCCAGCCAGGCCCGTGCGCGCCTGCTTTGTGCGAAGCTGTTGCACTGTTGCTGTCCAAGACATGACCTGCGCTCGACGCCGATGCAACCCTTTTACAAACGAACACTTTCTTCAGACTTCACACCCCACACTTCACGCACTTCACCCTTCACGTTGCATTCTTCATGTTCTCCACTTCACACTTCATCACAAGCCATCTCATCTCAGCTCTGCCTACCTTTGTGGTGACCTCGTTTCAGATCTTCTAATCTCATCTCATTTCTTTTCAGATGTTGCCTAAGTTCTTCTCGACGACGACGGCGACGACGACGACGACGATGGCGTCCGACTACTTCTCACCTCATCCCGCCTCTTCGTACCTCGTCTCATTTCTTCTGTATGCCAGACAGAAGCTCTTGTGCGTAAACTTTCTTTATTGCACACCTAGGAAAGAAAAGCTTGTGGTATATTGCACACCTAGACCATAGTATATTTACAGCATTGTGGTGGCTAACGCTAAACGTTCATGCATTGCACCAAATGTCAAGTACAAGTCCTTCGTCAAGAAAACTTATTGCAAACACGGTGTAGTTGTTATCTGTCATTCAGACACACGCAGTTCAGGGTCAACAGCTGCATTCTTTTTCATCACTGCAGCACGTCGAGGTTTTGCAGCTCTTTCGATCCGCGCTCCAAAACCGGATCTCAACGCCAAAGCGACAAAAAGACAAATTTTGAAACACTTCCCAATACTACTTTGTACTACAAAGCTTGCACACAGTACTCCCCAGTACTACCTCGTACTACGATGCTTGCACAAAGTACTCCCGAGTACTACTTTGTACTACAAAGCTTGCAGAAAGCACGTCGCAGTACTACTTTGTACTACAAAGCTTGCACAAAGCACATCCCAGTACTACTTTGTACTACGAGCAGTACCCGGGCAAGCCGGGGGTGGAAGTTTCAAATTTGAAACGCTTACAGCCTATAGAGCGGAGCAAAGGCTGTGCCTATAGGTGCCAGACAAGACTCCTGTGCCTCGCAGCAACAAGCTCTCGACTTTCAATCTGACGCCATGTCTTTTGAATGCTGAATCTTTTCTCATTTCATCTGATCTCATCGCATCGCAGCTTCTCTTGGAAATTGCTCACTGCATCCCACTGTCACCGCAGCCTGTGTCATCCCATCTCATCTTAACTCACCTCATGTCTTCTCAGCTTTTTTCACCGCATCTCACCTCATCCCATCTCCCATTCTCAGCTCTTCTCAGCTGATCACGACTGGCTTCTTCTCTTCGTCATTTGAGCTTTTCTCATCTCTTTCCATCTCAGCTTCTCTCAGCTTTTCTCAGATTTTCACAGCTCTTCTCAACTCTCCTCAGCTCTCCGCAGCTCATGTCAGCTCATCTTACATCTTCTCATCTCCTCTCTTCCCTCTTCTCACATCTCAGCTCTTGTCAGATCGTCACACCTCATCTCAGCTCTTCTCAGCGCACTCTCAAATCATCTCAGCTCTCCTCTAGCTGAAAACCTGCTCCACAAACGGATCTCGGCGCCAAAGCAAGCGACCCCTACGCTTTCCATAGAGAAGATTTGACCCAGAGAAGCGTTTACACACAGCAAGCTTTTGCACAGAGAAGCTTGTACACACAAAAGCTTTTTCACAGAAACCAGCAAGCTTTTATCCACAGCAAGTTGTTACACAAAGCTTTTGCACACAGCAAGCTTTACCCAGAGAATCTTTTACACACACAGAAGCTTTTACACACAGCAAACTTTTACACACAAGCTTTTAAACACAGAAGCTTTTACACACAGAAGCTTTTGCGCCGAAAAGCTTTTACACAGAGAAGCCTTTACACAGCCAAGCCTTTAAACACAGCAAGCTTTTACACACAGAAGCTTTTACACAGAGAAGCCTTTACACAGAGAAGCTTCTACACACAGCAAGCTTTCACACAAAGAAGCTCCTACACAGAAAAGCTTTTACACAGAAAAGCTTTTACACACAGAAAGCTCTTACACACAGAAGCTTTTACACAGAGAAGCCTTTACACAGCTTTTACACACAGAAGCCTTTACACACAGAAGCTTTTACACGCAGCAAGCCTTCACGCCCAGGAGCTCCTACACAGAAAGGCTTTTACACAGCGAAGCTTTACACACAGCAAGCTTTCACACAGAGAATGCTTTTTACACACAGCAAACTTTTACACAGAGCAAGCTCTTACACAGAAGCTTTCACCGAGAGAAGATTTTACACACAGAAGATTTTAAACAGAGCAAGCTTTTACACACAGCCAGATTTTACACAGAGAATGCTTTTACACAGGGTTAGGGAAGCTTTTACACACAGAAGCATTTACACACAGCCAGCTTTTACACAGAGAAGCTTTCACACAGAGAAACCCTTCCACAGAGAAGCATTTACACAGAGGAGCTTTTACACAGAAGCCTGTACACACAGAAGCCTTTACACATAGCAAGCTTTTACACCGAGTTAGGGAAGCTTTTATTCACAGAAAGCTTTTACACAGAGCAAGCTTTTACACAGAGAAGCATGTACACAGGGAAGCTTTTACACACAGCAAACTTTTACACAGACGCTTTACACACAGCCAGCTTTTACACAGAGAAGCTTCTACACAGAGAAGCCCTTTCACAGGGAAGCATTTACACTGAGAAGCTTTACACAGAGGAGCTTTTACACAGAAGCCTGTACACACAGAAGCCTTGACACATAGCAAGCTTTTACACAGAGTTATATAGGGAAGCTTTTTTCACAGAAAGCTTTTACACAGAGCAAGCTTTTACACAGAGAAGCATGTACACAGGGAAGCTTTTACACACAGCAAACTTTTACACAGACGCTTTACACACAGCCAGCTTTGACACAGAGAGAAGCCCCTTCACAGGGAAGCATTTACAATTTACACTGAGAAGCTTTTACACAGAGGAGCTTTTACACACAGCAAGCTTTTAAACTGAGAAAATCTGCTGACAAGCCACTATTGCAACCTCGATGCAGCCACTCCATTACGATTTACGATTTACGATGTCCAGCTGCAAAAGACAAAATATTACGCACACAGCCGCGGCTCCAAATAACTTTGACGCAGCCACTACAATGCGATTTGCAGAGACGGTGTTGCAAAACACAAAAGAACTACGCGCAACGGCATCAGCAATTGCAGCTCCAAAACCGGATCTCGACGCCACACCAAAAAAAAAAGACGGTTTGGAAGCACTTTTAAAAAGGATTTTTTTAAGTTTTAAAAATGATCTTTAAAAGGAAAATCACCAGCGCCAAAATTGGAAAAATCTGCTGAAAAATCACTATCGCAGCCTTGTCACACCAATACGATTTACGATGTCCAGCTGCAAAAGACGAAAGTAGTACGCACGCAGCCGCGGCGCCTTCTAATGCGACCTGCAGAGACTGTGAAAGGAAAGCTTTCGTGCGAGACCTCCCTCAGAATCTGAAAGTTGAAGGTGTGAAAGCAAAGCTTTCGTGCGAGACCTCCCTCAGAATCTGAAAGTTGAAGGTGTGAAAGCAAAGCTTTCGTGCGAGACGTCCCTCAAAATCTGAAAGTGGAAAATGTGAAAACGAAGCTTTCGTGCAAGACTTCCTCCAGATTCCGACACTGGAAGATGTGAAAATGAAGCTTTCGTGCGAGACCTCCCTCGAAAAGTGAAAGTGGAAGATGTGAAAACGAAGCTTTCCTGCGAGACCTCCGTCAAAATCAGAAAGTTGAAGATGTGAAAACGAAGCTTTCGTGCGAGATCTCCCTCAAAAAGTAAACGTGGAAAATATGAAATCGAAGCTTTCGTGCGACACGTCCCTCAAGAAGTGAAAGTGGAAAAAGTGAAAGTGGAAAATGTGAAACCAAAGCTTTCGTGCGAGACCTCCCTCAAAATCTGAAAGGGGCAGATATGAAAACGAAGCTTTCATGCGAGACTTCCGTCAAAATCGTCAAATTCCGAAAGTTGAAGAGGTGAAAACGAAGCTTTCGCGCGAGACCTCCCTCAAAATCTGAAAGTGGAAGATGTGAAAACGAAGCTTTCGTGCGAGACTTCCCCCAGATTCTGACAGTTGAAGATGTGAAAACAAAGCTTTCGTGCGAGACCTCTGTCAAATTCGGACAGTTGAAGATGTGAAAACGAAGCTTTCGTGAGAGACTTCCGTCAAAATCGTCAAAATCGGATCGGACAGTTGAAGATATGAAAACAAAGCTTTCGTGCGAGATCTCCCTCAAAAAGTGAAAGTGGAAGATGTGAAAACGAAGCTTTCGTGCAAGACTTCCTTCAAATTTTGAAAGTTTAAGTTGAGCCAAACAATGCCTGAAACGGCAGTTCCACTGCGTGGCCGATCTGACCATGATCCGAGCACACTCGAGCCTTTGCGGAACCCGCCCGCCATCACCACTTCTCTCAGTCACCCCCCTTATTAACCACCACTTCCTGTAGTCACCACCTCCCTCAGTCACCACCTTTTGTCATCACCACTTCCCTTAGGCATAACTTCCCTCAGTCACCACCCTTCGTCATCACCACTTCCCTTAGCCACCACTTCCCTCTGTCACCACCCTTCGTCATCACCACTTCCCTTAGCCACCACTTCCCTCCGTCACCACCCTTCGTCATCACCACTTCACCTTCCCTCAGTCACCATCTGCACCCTTCGTCATCACCACTTCCCTTAGGCACCACTTCCTTCAGTCACCACTGAAGGGCTTCCCTCAGTCACCACCTGTATTGTTCGAAGGAAGTTTAGAAGTCAAACCTCCGACAATATGGACAGATGGAAAAGCAGAGGTGGGAAGACTCAGAGAGGAGAAGAGCAGAAGAGAGAAGATCAGAGAAGAGAAAGAGCGAGAAGCAAGAAGATGCAGGCGCGCGAAAAGGTAGGAAAGTCGCGAAACACTGTGTTTTTCCAATGATTTGTGGCTCCAGAGGGTCGAAAAGTAGGCTCGCTAAAGCGGCGGGTGCGGAGCCATCTGGCCAGATGAGAGATGAAAAGTTGTACACCGTTGTGGCGCGAAGCACATTTGGAAGTGAAAAAGCTAAAAACACCTCACGTTCAGAGCACTTTGGAAGTTGAGCTGTCGAAAAAGTGCACGCCGTTGTGGTGCGAAGCACATTTGGAAATGTTCGGACCACTTTTCGAAGTTGCGATGTTCAAAAAGTGCACACCGTTGTGGCGCGAAGCACATTTCCAAGTCAAAATGTTAAAAACACCACATGTTCGGACCACTTGCACGTTCAGATGTAATTTTGCGTGGCAGACGCAAGGGATTCTGCACCTTGCCAAAAGTGAGCAAAACGAGAGGGTTTTGTAGCAGTTTCAACTACAATCACCACTACGCTACGCTACACTTGTACACTCGCTACATTACACTACACTACTACTACTACTACTACTACTACTACCACCACTACCACTGCCACTACCACTACAACTACAACTGCAACTGCAACTACAACTACAACTGCAACTGCAACTATAACTACAACTACAGCAACTACAACTACACTACATAACACTACACTACGCTACGCTACACTACACTAATTTTCACTATACCACACCACACTACACCACACTACACTAAGTACAACTACAGCTACAACTACAACTACGCTACTTTACACTACACTACACTGCACTAGACTACACTACACTACCCTACACTACCCTACACTACCCTACACTACCCTACTTGAACTACACTACACTCATTACACCACCACACATGCAACTGCAACTACACTACACTAATTACACTACACCACAACTACAGCTCCACTTCACTACAACTACAGCTGCACTACACCACACTACATCCAGGACTTGTGGGTGAGGTGACCGACCAGGTGACCACTGCAACCATTGTAACCACTCCAAATAACACAACTCCAATCACCTTTCGGTCCATCAGTGGATTCGCTCTGCCATCCGTGATTCACAACAACCAACCTCTCCTATAGGTTTCCTATTTTTGAAACTTCCGCCACCGCCTTGTGCGGTACTACTGGTATGTGATGTACTGTTATGTGATGTAAAGTCTCAGAAGTCTCACAATTCTATTTGTCCGTAACTCGGAAGATTGCTTCCCAACTTCCTTTGATAAGTATACTAGGTCCACTTATAGTACACTTGAGCATGGGAAGACCATGAATGACTCGAACAAATATGAAGCTTTTGGTAAGAGCTCAACTAGCTGCAAGTTAGGTAGATAAAGCCCAAGTCCCGGCCTCTAAACTCAGGTTCCAGTTCCAGGGCAACCATATGTTCCTCAGACAAGCACACGGTGACTAGTAACCCGCACTCTTGCTGCTGGTTCACATGGGGAGCTCATGAAGCCACTCCTATTTCACTGTTGAGAGGCGCCTTAGAGCTTTCCTTTTCGCTTTGCTCTTCTTTTTTTGTTTTGCTCAGAAAGAGTCGGGAAGAGCTATAGACTACGAAAGCCAAGTTAGTGCAGACAAGCACAGTTCCACGGATATCCAGGGTAAGTGCAAACTGAAAAGGCATGAGGCATCACCTCGAATCTAGAGAAGCACCAAAGGGATCCAAAGGGCTGAAACTCCATGATGACACTGTCACAAGAGGAAGGCACTCGACCACATAGACAATAGTTTCATGTGTGTATTTGTGTGTGTGGAGACAAAAGCCATAACCTCAGCGGTATGAACTCAGAGATCTCCATTACAGCAATTAATAGGGAAGCAGCCTGAGCCAAAGGCAACTATCATGAAAAGAGACATTAAACCTTTGGGCCCTCTAAAGTAGATTTCAAGCCTTTCTCAGGCACATCCTATGGAGCTTCGCGTTTGCAGCTTTTCGACGCAGAATTGGTATATAGTGCTGCGGATCAAAATAGTCATATAAATATAAATAGCATAAGATCATAACTAAGTAGGTGGCCAGTCTGCTGCTCTGCTGCATCTTGCTCCACAAACATATCAGCGGATCTATGGTATAAAAACGTTAGATGTTAAAAGGTGCTCCACGCTTTGTACTGTAATTGAAAAGGAGCAAAGGCTAGCAAACGTTTTCTCCATGCTGCGAAGGTTCTCCCTGGTTCCCAAATCTGCGTGCCCAACGAACAATGCCCAGCTCACCGTAGGTCTGCAATGCAGCTTTCAAGGGCTCAGCTGATGCCGCCTCATGATACAAGCTGTTGACACTGGGAGATGCGTGCGACTCCAGAGCATATGCGACTCCAGACTAGTGCAAAGCAGCGCAGCATCAGCATGCTTCTGCATTCTTCAATGGATGTGCATGCATGTCTACTTTTCAAGCTGAAATATCCGACAAGCTGAATATGTATGGCCTCGTCATATTGGACATGGCCAGTGTGGACCAAGGTCTTTGCAAAGCTCTGCATGGCAGACACTGCCCGCCCCTCTCCAACGATCACAAGGTCATTCTGGAAAATATAGAGAAGGGAAGCCTGGGACACGTCTGTTGATTTCTTGATTTTGCATGATTTTGCCAGGTTTGGGTACCAGTATTGGATGGAAACTTGGGAAAGTGAAGGGACAGATTGGGAGGACAAAAACCCAACAAATGTCCATCTGGTTTCTGTTTTTTTTCATCTTTGCGAACAAGACGCCAGCACCAACCAGTAGCTCTCCTCAGAAATCAAATCTCATGGCCATCCGTCAGCATCGCAGAATGGAAGCAAGACCCAAAAACATAATGACATGCAATAAGATGCATAATGCAAGCATAATGCAAGCCAGGTTCTATAAGAGGCCATACCAAAGAGCATAAAAAAGTAAAGTGCTTGTTCCAGTGATCGTAGCCACCCATCTCCTGCAGCACACTGCATTCTGCATTCGAGATGCAAGTAAGACAGCCCATCTCCAAACAACAAACCTTCAAGGCAAATCGAGGCAAAAGAGATCACCCTACGTTCCAGGTACAGATAAGAATTCAGCGAAGACAGCGTTGGCGTCAGTGAGAGTTACAGTGCGGGAATGTATGACCGTTCACGGAGCGACCTTGTTGCGGTGATTCGTTCCAATACAGGCAGTAGTTTATGCAAAAAGGCTAGTTTCTAACTTTTCCGTGCTTTTTCTAGGCTCCTACTGAAGGTTTTCTACTGGAAAACTTGGATACCAGTAGTACCGCACAAGGGGGTGGCGGAAGTTTCAAAAATAGGAAACCTATAGGAGAGGTTGGTTGTGGTGAATCAGGGATGGCAGAGCGAAGCCACTGATGGATCGAAAGGTGATTGATCTCCCTCACTCTTTCTCTCTCTTTCTCTGACTACCTATCTGTCTATCTATTTATCTATCTATCTATCTATCTAGCTAGCTATCTATCTATCTAGCTATCTATCTATCTATCTGTCTATCTGTCTGTCTGTTTATCTGTCTACCTGTCTATCTGTCTATCTGTCTATCCATCTATCTATCTATCTATCTATCTGTCTACCTGTCTATCTGTCTATCTATCTATCTGTGTATCTGTCTACCCGTCTATCTGTGGTGCAGTGTCATTCAGTGTAGTGTAGTGTAGTGTAGTGTAGTGGAGTGGAGTGGAGTGGAGTGGAGTGGAGTGGAATGGAGTGGAGTGGAGTGGAGTTTAGTGGAAGGTAGTGGCAGGTAGTGTAGTGTAGTGTAGTGCAGTGCAGTGTTGTGTTGTGTAATGGAAGGTAGTGTAGTGTAGTGTAGTGTACTGTACTGTAGTGTAGTGTAGTGCAGTGCAGTGTTGTGTTGTGTCATGGAAGGTAGTGGAATGTAGTGTAGTGTAGTGTAGTGTAGTGTAGTGTTGTGTAGCGTAGTGTAATGTAGTGAAGTGTAGTGGAACGTAGTGTAGCGTAATGTAGTGTAGTGGAGTGTAGTGTAGTGTAATGTAGTGTAGTGTAGTGTAATTGAGTGTACTTGAGTGCAGTGTAGTGTAGTGGAGTGTAGTGTAGTAGAATGTAGTGAAGGTGTAGTTGTAGTTGTAGCGTAGTGTAATGTATTGGAGTGTAGTGTAATGTAGTGGTGGTTGCAGTTGAAAATGCCACAAAACCCTCACGTTTTGCTCACTTTTGACAAGCGAAACGACATCTGAACCTCCAAAAATGGTCCGTACATGGTGTGCTTTGTACATTTTGACTTGGAAATGTGCTTCGCACCACAACGGCGTGCACTTTTTCGACATCTGAACTTCCAAAAGTGGTCCGAACATGGTGTGCTTTGTACATTTTGACTTGGAAATGTGCTTCGCGCCACAACGGCGTGCGCTTTTTCGACATCTCAACTGCGAAAAGTGGTCCGCACCCCTAGTGTTTTGTACATTTTGACTTGGAAATGTGCTTCGCGCCACAACGGCGTGCGCTTTTTCGACATCTCAACTTCCAAAAGTGGTCCGAACATGGTGTGCTTTGTACATTTTGACTTGGAAATGTGCTTCGCGCCACAACGGCGTGCGCTTTTTCGACATCTCAACTGCGAAAAGTGGTCCGCACCCCTAGTGTTTTGTACATTTTGACTTGGAAATGTGCTTCGCGCCACAACGGCGTGCACTTTTTCGACATCTCAACTGCCAAAAGTGGTCCGCACCCCTAGTGTTTTGTACATTTTGGCTTGGAAATGTGCTTCGCGCCACAACGGCGTGCACTTTT